CAGGCGATGCTGTTTAGCCGAGATGTTCCACTCTTTTTACCTGAATACTGGATTTCATGCGACAGCACTAAGAAATTAGAAGCAACGTGGCCTGGTGGTGGCCCTGAAGATCCCACTAATGTTGTACGAGGGCCTTAAAACATGCCTGTGGTGGTTTTAAGTTTCTTCACGGCTTGGGTCTGAGTGGAGATGGAGACGTGGTGCCCTGGGACGAGCAGGTGCTGGAGAGGAGCTCAGGAGCAGAATGGATGGGACCTGAGTGACCAAACTGGAGAGCGTTTTAGGGGCCATTCCAGGCAATAATGATTTAAAAACTGGATTATACCTGGCTAGGAAACTCAAGGAGAATACAGGAGGTGAATTACTGGGAGGCTTGCCTCCTCTCCACTCTTCCCCCCTTCTTTTTTTTCCTGAGGAGATCTCTAGCAATCTGTTTGCCCTCCACCCACTTGAATACTTGCCCTGCTTGCTATAGGTAGGACAAGAAGTGGTTAAAGGAGCTGCCCGAAGCAGCCCTGGACGCGCTTTATTTGCATAAACGGGTAGGAAGAATTAGTTTCTACCCTTTGCACCTTACCTCTTCCCATTCCTTCCAGATGCTTATCGGGTTGTTTGCCCTGTTGAGCCCCACAAAGTGCTGTTTTCCAGAGGAGGGATCAGCAGAAAACCTCAGGAGATCTCGGGGCAGTCCCACCTTCGCGTGGGGCCTTCAGGAGGTGATGTTTAAGATAATGCTGTCGCAGCTCCTGGATTCAAACCCACCTGCACCACCTCCTCCTTCCCTCCAGCACCTCTTTCGTGGTTTGCTGAATTAACCTTATTCCTAGGGATAAGGTTAAGCCCGTTACCTTTCCTCGATGCCTGAAATCTACTCCAAGAGCCCTGTGCCTTGAGTGAGGAGCTTTCTGGACGCCAAGAGGCGCTCAGTGAGGAGCAGAGACAGTCGTGTAGATTCCTTTGCCCTCGTAGTATCAAGGGACTGTGAGCTGCAGCTTGGAGTTCTCCTTATCTCCTAGAAAACACCGCCAGCCTCTTCCCTATCTGCGGCTAGCGGTTCTTAACAGACAGTTTGAAAGTTGAGCTTCTCTCCAAAACACGGACTGTGGAAAAACCTGAAGGTGGTCCTAAGTGGTTTTAGTTGGTTTGGGGTGGAAAAAGGGAAAAGCCAAAGCCCCTCTGACACACAAAAACAGCAGAATTCGATTCAAGAAGCAGTATTTGCAGTCGTTTTGGGGTCTGTGCTGCCTGCAGTGTGGGGTGGACGAGCAGGGCACATCAGGTGCTGCAGGGGAAGCGGAATTAACATTAAATTGCAATTCTTTATGCAGGCTTGAAGTTTGGACTTCTTTTAATACTTGGGTGTCAAGTAATTAGTCCATCTGATATCCTTAAAAAGTGTTTGTTGTGCCTCTTCTGTTAGTGCAGAGAGAATTTATTCTGTCTTCAGGTTAAGCTTTGTTGCCTGTGGCTCACTTTGTTTCGAGTCCTGCTTACGATGAGTAAAACTGCACCAGAAAATGTTTTTGAAGGGCTTAAAGCATCCTCTTCAAACGGCAGCTTCAGCATCTGCAAACACCCATCCCGATGATCCAAAGGAACTGCCCTCGATGTCTGCTATCAGCGACTTGGATCCAAAGCAGAGCTGCCAAATGAGGGGCTGTATTTTTAGAAGAATAGTTTAAAAGACACTTCCTATCGACAAACGTGGGCTACAGCAGCCCGGTGCTAAAACATTTGTGAGTTGTGCAAACATCACCTGACTATTAAAGATGTGTCAGGGCTTGCTACGCCGGGAAACTTATTGATATAATTACCCTGGTCTAATTACGCTCAGACGATCTCCTGTGTCGACAAGCCCTCGGATGCAACCAGCTCGGCCCCTTCTTATTTAGTAACTCGTTAGGCTCTGATATTATTACCAGGGCCTAATTGGCTGCTGAAAATCTGTGATATCCAAGCTTGGCGCTGACCTGCGACACCTCCGGGTACTGAGCAGCCCGGCAGCGAAGTTTTACAGCATCGGGAAGGATGAAGGACGGTGCTGGAAGCCTGCAAAGTGGTTAGAAATGAATGAAACGGCCCCAAAAACGCAGTTACACAACCGGCTGGATGTCAGAGCCACATTGAGAAGCGCGGCTCATTCACACCTTTCATGTGCTGGGAGTGTCTTGGCCAGGTGGCTCCCTGAGTCACTCTTATCTCGGGGTTGATCGGCGTTGTTTGGATGCAGAGGGAGCCGCACGCAGGCGGCCTCGCTTTTGCAGGCAGGTTGTACATTTCAAAACCACCTAATTTATGCTAAAGTAGCATTTCTGGGCTCGTTTCCCTGTTGGTGTGTAGCTCCTCTGTTCCTCCTTCCTCTTCCTCCTCTTCTCTTTTCCCAGAGCAATGCTGCTTGGGGTTTACTTCCCTTTACAAGGATGGTATTTTTCTAATATCTGGCTTTTCCCAGATTCCTTTCTTTTTGAGAAATCACATTTCTTACGAGCGATAACTCTGAACATTCGGTCTGTGTAAATTGGGTGAATTATAAAAGGAAGCGACTTCATGATTAAAAATTAAGCCTGAAGATGCTCTGTGTGGGCACCTCGCTATTGAATCTCCAGCGTACCTTGCTCCAAACCCTTAAAACAGAGCTCTGGTCCAGGTATCCACGTGGAGTTCTTGAAATGCTGTCTCTGAAGGCAGCGTCCGTGCTTGCGAAGGAGCCTCTGGAAAAGCAGGGACGGAGGAAAATAACAAGGAAAAAACCACGGGGGTGTTTGGAGAGCTGCCAGCAGCGGCCCTTCGGGCCCTGGCGGGTGGGTGCAGGGAATTGCTCGGGAGCTGGGCAGTGTGTTGGGACAGCTTTGAACACAGCGGCTACGTTTTGTGGGTTTTCTTCAACAAAAAAAGAGTGACAATGCTCTGAACTCAGCGTGCTGTGCCTCTGAACTTCACAGATGGTCTCTGTAACGCGTTTCCCACAAGATATCTTGCTTTTTCTCAGCAGTCTTAGTCTGAGGTGGTAGTCCCTACAATGAGTTCACGCCACCGGTTGTCATTTTTGCTTTAACTTGGGTTTTCCCCTGCAGTTAGGTTGGCATCCCTCAGTCCTCCAGCTGCAGCGTGTGCAGCGACGTAGGCTGCCTGCTTATCGGGTCAGCGCTGCTGTTTAATAAACAGGACTTATCTCCTTCAAGCACCACCCTGCCCTAAATAAGTTTGCTTGGTGAGCTGAGCCAGAAATAGCTTTTTTTTTTTTTTTAATTGGATCATTTAAAAAAATAAAAAAAAGTTAAAAATACGTGGTGCAGGTGTGCTGTCAAACTGCCTCCTGATCTTGTCCAGCAGCGTGCTACTCTTCAGAGAGGTGAAAAATGCTGCATCAAACCTGGCCCAGAAAAAAGGAAGGGCAGGGAAATAAGGCTGGAAAATACCTAGGAAATAAATAAAATGTCAGAAAGCGTAAAAATGGGGGGTGAAGAGAAGGGAAATGCTTCGTATGGATGGGATAACAGTTGAGCAGGTACTAGTGGTAAGGCAATCCACACTCCATCCTAGCTGGATCATGGATGAAAAGAGCAGAAATGTTCAAAGGCAAATGCCAGGAGTCTGGGCAGAACCTGGAAATGTTTTTGGAGTGGCTGGTGCTATGGGAATGATAGGGAACAACCCAAAAAATACAGAATCGTGTCAGTGCCCAGGCCACTGTGGTTGAACGGGGATGTTAGAGAAAAGTGGAAATGAAAGTAAGGGCTTTAAGACAACAATAAAAGCAATAAAATGGCTTGTTGAGTAATAGAAAGCTTTGAAACGTTGCAGCTCTAAATGTTTGTGGGAGCGGCTTTCTCACCTGGTCCTGCAGAGGAGGGGCAGTGACAGAGCAGTCTGGTGCCACGGTAAGGGGCAGCTTGGCCACATCTAGCCAGGTTTAAATCCGAAACCACAACCAGTGCTGAGTCTAAAAGGCCGTGAGGATAACCTGACCAGGATGAAATCAGCCAGAAGCAAGAGAGTATAGTTGAGCATTACCCTTCTGGAAGCACTTTCCAGCAGACAAGGTGACAGACATGTGGATCAAGGAGGTTCTGTGTCGAAGACTGAGCTGGGTGATCCCAGAGCCCCACCTGGGTGCCTACATGTAGTGAGGAGCCCCCTGGGCTCGTTCACACCTGAGCATTTTGCAGCATTTAGACCTCTGGCAAGCTGAGCACTGCTGTTTGAGGAGCTTTGGATGCTCAAATTGCTCTCTCAGATTCTTTCTGGTGGATTTTTAATGGAATTCCTAGGTTAAAGCAAGCAGCTATTGCGCTTCGGCTCTGCCTCGCCCGATCTATAGCAGCCGGCTGTTGGTTGAGCTCAGCCACAGGCTGTTTGCTCTGTTTGCTCTCTGCATCAAGGAAACAGCAGGGCATAGCTGAATTCTAACGCGCCGTGTTTGCCAGGGAGCAGAGATGTGCAGGAAGGGCTCCTGGGCTTCATTCCTGCTCCTGGCAGGCTGCGGTGATCAGAGCAAAATGCACACAGCTGAAATACGCCTGTGGTATTTGCTTTACGTGCGTACAAGCCTTTCAAATAACGACTTCAAAGGTGGCTTAAGTAGTGTAAACTCCATCCTACAGGTGTTTGCTCAAATAAAAGCGGGTAGGTGATTTGCTTCTGTATCTCTTTTGAAACTGAGACCTTCCCTGCAAGAAAGTGATGCTCTAGTTCTCGCTTTTCCAGCAGTGCGTGCTTAGCATCTCAAAATCCTGTGCAGGGTAGGGAAATGCAACTGGTTTTAAGGTTTTGATCAATAATCAGGACTAGGAAATACAGCAAATAATGAACCAGCGTCGGAAGAGGAGACTTACGGACTCCTGTTAGTGTGTTTTTTTGTTGTCGTTCTTAGTTTGGGTTACAGGTTTTAATGTGTTCTACTTCATTGGTCAACTAGGCTGCAAATTTGCTCAAAAGCCAGTTGAATGTATCTCACGTGGCTAATTTTTTCTAATTTTTTCTTCCTTTTTTTTTCCCAGTGCTCGCACCTCCTCCACCAATGCCACCACCAATCCAGGGATATGCCTTCAAACCTCCTCCTCGCCCAGATTTCGGCTCTTCTGGGAGAACAATCAAACTGCAGGCCAACTTCTTTGAAATGGACATTCCCAAAATTGATATCTACCATTATGAGTTGGACATAAAGCCAGAAAAATGCCCCAGAAGAGTTAACAGGTAATGGTGTGCTTTGCTTTTCCTCTTTTTGTTTACATTCCTGTGGTGATTTGAAAATGCTGGAGCTGTGTGCTGGGTTTTGTGGACAGCTCAGAGGAGTTTTTCTATCTATTCATTATCTGTACTGATAGCTTCTGGCTTGGCATGTTCATCAACAGGAGTTATTTCTGAGAGTTTTTCTTCCTTTCTTACCAACTCAGTGCTAGTGGTCCTTTATTTTGATGGAGCTTGTGATTAAAGCCACTGTGTTAAGTCTAGAGGGGTCAGGTCAGTATAAAATAACTTGATAAATACAATTCTTGGTGTTGCTTGGTTCAGTATTGGGATGCAGCTGGCTGGCAAGCTCTTCAGCAGGGAGTTGGTGTTGCCAGCTTGTTTTCCTACCTTCCCCTACTGAAAAAGAGAGGTAAAACCCTTTTGTTTGTGCTGCTGCAGGAGGATCGTGGAGGGACTGAGTTAGGTAAGAAATTATCCTTCATCAGGAGATTCTATATAAGGGAAAGATATGCTCCTGCAACAGATAGCGAGATGAAAACAGGCATCAGTTGGCCAAGGAACCAGGCAATTAGGTCCCGCGTTTTGCATGTGTGCCCTATTAGTCACAGTGTGGCAACCTCGTTAACTTGGAGAAGAGTGGCGGTGCCAGAAGTGAAACTGAGAGCAAGACTTGGCAGCGACTGCAAACCACAAGTGTCTTCAGCGTAACTACCTACACATCTTGACTGCAGGGGATCGGAATGGCGTGTTTATATATTCAGGAGCAGAAACTTTCCGTACGAAAAAAAGGTTACATGGGTGGAATATGCAGTCGGGAGCAAAGTGTGGAGTCAAAAAAAAGCCACCTGAAAGCCAAAGTTTTCCTACCGTGAAGTAATAAACTGGAGCGTGCTACCCATTGTTACCCTGATGAGGCCACTAATGGTAGGATTTCCTACCAAAGCAGCACTGCTAAGCTTTGCTGTTCTATTTTTTTTCCCTATGGCTAGCTATTTAATCTTGAAGCTAGTTGAGAATTGGGTTTAGTTTTGAAAGCAAACACTGCTTGGTAAACTCACTTGAGCAGGTACAAAAGTGCATGGATGAAACGCCTTTTGCAGTAACCAGGGGTGTTGTAAATGCATTTCATGATGCTACAGTGTGTGTTTCTGGTGCGGTGTGGGAAGAATACAAATGGGATTCCCTCGATGAAGGGTGTGTTTTACTTCTTTGAGCACTTATTCGTGCTTTGTTACCCTGTAGATGTACATGCCTTTGCCCATGCCTGGGTTTTTGTTAGCCAGAACCTTCTAATCCTACACATATACCTGTGTTGGTGTATGTATTTGGGTACCTATGTAGGGCTGTGTGGGATGCACGTATAATCCAGGACTAAATTGTACTTTTTTTTTTTTTTACAAGTGCATTAATACATTTATTTATAGTAAATAGCTTGTGTTACTTTATAATCTCCAGCAAAGATAGGGGGACATCTTAATTTCCTTTACACCGTTCCCTCATCTGTCCTGGCTTCCTTCTTCAGTTTCCTTCTAGGATTTGCTGTGGCTTGGCCTGCGACTGTGCAGATACGTGTCCAGATCTATTTTGGCTGGCAGTCAGGACGGGCAATGTGGCATCAGGTTCTGCACTGTGGATGCCCTCAGTTTAAGTTTTGAGGATAGCTGGGGCTCACAAGGCTCAAAATGAGCTCCACTTCTGGTCAGCGGCCTCAAATTCTTGCATGCACGCGTGGTCTTTGCAGGATAGTAGTCCCAAGGGGCTGAAGTTGGAGAATGAGTAAATAACTCTTCTTTTAACTTCAGATGGAGAAAACACTTTCACTTTTCATTTGGATGTCTTAGCCCACAGCTGAGAAACACGGTTGCTAAATGTGGTTTGAAGTTTGAAAGCCTTAATTAAGCTTCGTTCATGTTCACAGAGTAGTTTACAACCAAAACTTGCTTAGTAAGAGAATGGATTTTTTGTTACTCAAAACATTTAACTTAAGGTTGAAATGTATTTCCCTCCTCCCATCCTTGAAGTATGTACTTGTCCAGTCAGATACTGCAGATCCAAGGCAGAAATCACTGGGCCAAGTTTCATTCCCACTTCTCACAAGGTCAGACAAGTTTCTTTTAATGAACTTGTGTTGTCCTAAAGCCTTGGGACACAGCAAAGAAATCGTCGGCTAAAAGTTTTCATTGGCTACAGCACTTGGATGAACTTGGCGTTTCTTCTCAGAGCTTTGTGCCGCTCCAGTATCCAAGTAGGCTAATTACCTTTCCAAGAAATGGTGTATAAAATAGCTGCCTGAGCAAGTTGACAGTGGTACTGCAGAAACAGCATCCCGTGGCTTTCCTTTCTGTGTCAGCTCCACTTCTCCGTGCCCTTTTGCTCGCAGCCATACATTAAGGATCTTCCAGGGATGTCTTTTTGGGAAGTTTGGACCAAAGGCTTTTGGCATTAGAGGGCGGTGTTATTCCAACAAGCTGCTCGTCTGCTGGTGCACTGCACGGCCAGCGTGTAGCCACTGTGGCTGGACAAAAACTTGAGGTGGTTGCTTCATTCATGCAAGCTATGCTTGATGAATGAAGATAGATTTTTAAAATGTGAGTCCCTGTGAATGCAAGTTTTGTTGCTTTTGTGGGGAAAAAAATGCATTTAGGACATCTTTTGTAGTGTTAGGCAAAAAGCTTGTGTGCTACTGTCATCGTAGGAACATCGTGCTGGTGCAGCACCAAGGCTGCAAGGTTTAGTGGTGATTCTTTGGCCCACCATCCTCTGGTGATATGCAGAAAGAGATCTGTAGGACAGGGGAGCAGAAGCCCCAGAGTGTCATGCATCTGCTGTTCAGAGCCTGAGCTAGCATGTTCTTCTTCTTTGCCTGTTCTAGTGAATCACAGAAAACAGGAAGGAAAGCTTCAATCTGAAAATGCTAAATATAGCTGCTTTGAGAAAACAGTTCAGGCCGTGGAAAGGTTGCTTTCAGGCAGGTCAGCGAAACAAATCGTAGCTTTAATGCTCAGCGGTGGGCATCCCTTTCATTTTCTTCACGCTTCTGCTCATAAGTGGTAGCGTTCACTTGCTGCTTAATGTGAAAAGTTTAAAAAGTTGAATTAACGTCATCTTTTTGTGTTTCCAGGGAAATAGTGGAGCATATGGTTCAGCACTTTAAAACACAGATCTTTGGGGATCGCAAGCCAGTGTTTGATGGAAGAAAAAACCTTTATACAGCTATGCCGCTTCCCATTGGAAGAGATAAAGTAAGTTTTAAAGAGAAGAGTTTCCAGCGGGTGGTTCTAATGTAATATTTGCAGAACCTTTCTAATAACTGATAGCAGCTATTTTGTGTGTGTGTGAATGCGTTCTGCTGCCTTTGGAGGCCACTTTACTCAGGGTATGGCTTCACAGAATGGTTTGGGTTGGAAGGGACCTTGAGGATCATCTAATTCCACCTCCCTGCTGTGGGCAGGGACACCTCCCACCAGCACAGGTTGCCCAAAGCCCCATCCAGCCTGGCCCTGAGCACCTCCAGGGATGGGGCATCCACAGCTTCTCTGGGCAGTCTGTGCCAGGGCCTCACCACCCTCTGAGTGAAGAATTTCCTCCTTATATCTAATCTACATCTCCCCTCTTGTAGTTTAAAACCCTTTCCCTTCATCCTGTCATTATCTGCCCTAGCAAAATTTGCCGTCCATTTTTTTTGTAATACTTTTTAAGTATTGAGAAGCTGCAGTAAGGTCACCTCAGAGCTTTCTCTTCTCCAGGCTGAACATCCCCAGCTCTCTCAGCCTTTTATTGGCTCATTTATGTCATCAAAGCCTACCAAGAGCTGATTATTATTATCCACTAATTGGAAGAAACTCCTGCACCACTTGGTTGGCACTATGGTACCTCTTCTCTCGTCTTTTGTGATGAGAGAGCCAAATTGGCTTTAATTGCCCAGGCAAAGACCTGCTAGCTGAGCACTGGGGCAGGCGAAGAGCGTTTGTGTGTCCTGTTTGCCAGCTCTGTCCTGGGGAAAGTGACCTCTTCAGTCACTCCGGCTGTCGTGGCCGAGTGTACTCACATCGTTAGGCAGAAAGGAGCGTATTGGAGCATGCTGACACACAAACCCTGTAAAATAATTTAGTCTACTCTTGCTGTGGTCTAATATCAGATTGAATTTTCCGTGACCTTTTTTATTTATATGCTAAATGCTTGAGGATGGAGTCATGCTCGTTATTTGTTTCTGCTGCGGTAGTTTCTGGAGGCCATTCCAGCCTTCTGCTGTGGGTGCAAGGTGAGGCATGTGCAATTAGGGACAAAGCCTGTTCTGTCCTGTTGACTGCAACAAAAGGAGACAAAGTGAAATGCAAATGAATTTAGAGAGGGATACGGAAACTTGCTGCGTGCTACAGCTGGGAGAACAGCTCAGGTCTCCCTAAATTTGGGAAATGTGCTGTTTAGCAGTTAGACTGACCTTCTGTGTCTCCTGCTGTGTGCCTGGGCAGTGCAGGACGTGGCTGAGGTTCTACCCAAATCAAGCTCTTGTTCTCCTAGCTGCAATGTATATTTCCCCAAAGCATGTTTAAGTGAGTACAATTTAGTAAAGGTCAGCCTCTGCTCCAGGCTTAATTACTTTTCATTAACTGATATATCTAGGAAAACCATAAAGGAATTATTTAAGATTATTAGAGACTTTTTTTACTTTCACATATGGTGTCCAAGTTCCTACAGGTTTGCCCAAGATTGCAAAGTCTTTGCCAAAGCTGGAATGATCTTTGGTGTGTGTCTATGGGGGAGGTGAAACAGGTCCTCTGGCCGCACAGGCTGAGCTTATAACTACAATACCAGCTGAGCTGTGCATGAATAACTCTACATTTTATGACAAGCGTGAAGTTTGGCATTTAAAAAGGAAAAGTAAATGAAAAATGGTCCATCTGCGGAGGATAAAGGAACGTGGGATCAAAGTAATCCTCTGATCTAGCGCAAGCGTGTGAGATGTAAGATGACTTCGCTCGGAGTAACTGGCTGGGATGACCTCCAGCTGCTCTGCTCCTCTTTGTTGTGTGGCTGAGAGTTGTGCTCAGGAAGCAGTCACTACTCAAGATGCTTTGGGATTTTCAAACCCACTTGTGCTAGATCATAGATCTAGCAGAGAAGAGGTGTTAATCTCCAAAAAAAAAAAAAACAAAAACAAACAACCCAAAGATGGTTTAGGTCTCTTTATTTGTGTGAGTGACTCACATTTAGGCTCACTTCTAACAAACTGCTCTTTTTCCCTTTTTCCCATCAGGTACAGGCCTTATGCAGTTATTAAAGTTATTACCCTGGAGGAAAGAGCTAATAGAGATAAACCTTCAGCTGCTTTAAATCAGGTGTTGGGAAATTCAGCTTAATGAGGGACATTTTTTACACGGATTCTTAATTGGTTTAAGCATGGTTTAAACCAGTATAAAGCCTGTAGGTATTCAGACTTCCTCCAGGGCAGTGAGATTAGCTTTCCTTTTTTTTTCCTTTTGGCTGTTCTGTACAGAACAAATGTAGCAAGTTTACAACATGTTTGATTACGTTTAGGATCATATTGAAAAAATTCACGAACGTACAGTGATTAATAGATGGCCCTTCATCTAAATGAGAGAATACCTCCATTATTTTTTGATGTATGTCAGTAACGGAAGAATTTCTGCTAACCAGAAGGCTGACACTAATTTCCCATCATCTTTCACCAGTTGCTCCTCAACTTAATTTACTCTGTTCTCATCTCTTGTCAGTGGTGTTTTTCTAACCTTTTTTTTTTTTTCCCCCTTGCTGATAACGTGCTTCTCTCATAACTTCCTCATGTACAGACTTTTCTGCTTGGCCTTTATGATAATTAAACCTGTTTTCATTCATTCCTTACACCATGTTTTCATTCTTCGTTCATTTCTTTAGACCTTTCAGGACAAATAGGGAATAGGTAAGTGCTAACAGAGTATTTTCTGAGTTTTTACTTACACTTCTTGCTTCTGAATGTGTATAGGACACCATCAAGGTATAAAAATCTGAATTGGGTTCTGCCATAGGGTTCTGATAGTGACCCAGTTCATCTCTAACTTCTTGCTTTTGTTCTTTTGACGTATTGCTAACAACACTGTGTGTGATAGCTGACCTCTTGTACATCCTTAGCTTGAATTTTCCAGCTGAGGCCCTGGCAGGTAGGCACACATTTGATTGGAAACTGCGTGTCGGTTTTCCTTTGAATCTGTGGGAAGGAAAAGCTCTAGATTTAGAGGGCGATTATACATCATATACTCAAAGCATGACAAAACAATCACATAGTGATGCAAGTTTTAAGGAAAAGAGAACTGAGAATTCCCCGTGATTGTTTGGTTAGGTTTTAAGAGAGCAGCAACACCACCAAAATTAAATACTGATATGCCAATTTGTATGCATAAATCAGATGAGAACCTCAGCTACAAGCCCTGTTCTTTTTAAGAACGACTTTCCATTTTTCCCCATCACTACAGTAACGTCCCTTACATTTGGGTTCCTAGCTGTCAGGTGATGTTAACTGCTAAACTGCAGCACAATGTCTCGAGCAAGACAGGTTAGTGATCGAGACTGTGAATTTTTATTTTCAGGCAGGTTATGTTTGGAGAAACTGCAGGCAATCAGCTGTTAACTTACTACAGTTTAAAGCTGAATTTATGTAGCAAAATTCTCATGTCAAACTACTATTTTGAATTTCCCTACTTGAAATATTACTCCTCTACTATGAAATACTACTCTGCCATAGCATTTTATTCAGTTGAGATATTAGAGGAAGAAACCCTGGAAAGCTGGTTTTAAACTTGCTTATTTGAGCAAAGACTCTTAATTCAGCTGTTTTGAAGAGGGTTTAGATCCGACAGCAAGAACTGGACTAAATTCAGCAGTGCAAATTCAGTGCTAGAGCTAAACTATGCGTGGTGGGTGTTTGGCTCAGCTACTGCTCTGATCACTGGTAGGTTTGAAGGTAGCTGAGCATATCTCTGTGTTAGGGTGTTATTACCAAAAAAGGGTGAAGTTCTTTCAAATTACAGATTATCTACTTTTAAAATTAAAATCAGAGAGTGGGACAGATACTAGCTTGTATGACTAGCAGTCTAGTCATTGGCATAGAAATTCTTCAGTCATGTGGTTTTTATTTCCATCAGGGACAGGGATACCTCAACTAAAGTAGTCCAATTCTTTGTCCTTTTTCATTTCGTGGTGGCTTGGGAGCTTTGTAAACTGAAATCAGGAGGGAAAAATACTTAGATTAATGTACCAAAGACAGTAATAATCAGATTAGGTATGTTTTAACAGTGTCAGGAATAACAGAAGTGATGGAACTTTATTTGGAGGAGAGAGAAGTTTAAAAGAGAAATCTATCTCATCCGTTTTCTATCTACTCTAAATGGTGTTGAAGACCTTTTGGTGGCACAGTTTTTAAAGTAAGAACAAGCAAAAAGTTTTTATAGAAAGCTTCCAGCTTCTGTCAGGTGAAAACCTGTGCCTTTGTATGCATTTTTCGTGGAATAAACAGGCTTGGCCAGATTCAGACCACGGGATCTCTGCTTTCCATTGCTCTCTCGTGTGTGACTCCTTCCTGTACGTGACTCTTCTGGTGAATAGTGTTCATACTAAAGGGGAGACGAGGCTGCAATTTTAATTGTCATTGTCTACTGTAAATTGTCAACTTGGTGTTTGGCTTGTAGGGAGGCTTATTATTTGGGCTTTATCATTGCTTCCTATTTTTTGACTGCAGAAGTTGACTGCTGTGAAAGCTCAGCTGATTGCATACATTAGCTCATTGTTACCCGTGTATTGTCTTCAGCAGCCCGCTAATTACAGTTTGTCTGTAAGTGGATGCCTTCTGTATTCAAAAAGTAAACTCCCTAGGACAGGAAAATGCAACGTGTTTGTAACCAGCACAAAGGATATTCTTCTGATCGAGTTATTTCTTGTAGCCACTCCCACAAGTCTGAATAATTTCAGACAAGCCTTAATCTTTGTTGGTTTAAGAACCGTGCTCAGACTTTGTCTTTTACTAAAGACGAGAAAACAGCGGTACCAAATACCCCATAGCTAGAGTAATTCACGATAATGTAGTTTGGTTTGGGATGTAAAATTCAAAGGAGGGCCTAACACAGCGAAGAAACGTGCCTGTTTCCCACATGCTAATATCACCAGTATAAGGATTTGTACCTGAACTATGTGAATCCTGGCAGGTAGTTGCAGACCACGTTTTATTTTGGGCATGCAGAAGCTGACGGGCATGTTGCTGCATTAGTTTGTGTTGAGTATCTGAAATGGGGTTATCAGATCTTCATGGGGACCTCCCTGTTTGTACACAAACACTTCCAAAATACAATTTTGTCTCGGAGGGAGATAGATGGCAGCTGGGAAGCCTGCCAGTTTTCTGAGATATATATTCGGAAAAATCTAGCTGTAAAAAGAGGCTGTAGCTAATATATTCATCATTGCTCTTTGTCTTCTCCCATGTTTTACAACATTTTTCAGCGTGGTCCCTTCTAAGTCCCTCTCAGTTTTCCCTCTCAATAGAAAGAATCATCTTGGTTTGTTGTTTGGCATTGTTGCAGGTGGAGCTGGAGGTCACGCTGCCGGGAGAAGGCAAGGACAGGATATTTAAGGTGGCAATCAAGTGGATGTCCTGTGTGAGCTTGCAGGCTTTACACGATGCTCTTTCTGGCCGGCTTCCGAGCGTCCCGTTTGAAACCATCCAGGCTCTGGATGTGGTGATGAGGCACTTGCCTTCCATGAGGTAAGCAGCAAACATTGGCACGGCTTAGGAAATTGCCTTATGGTGTAGGAAATTTGTCTGAATCGCTGTAGCAGCTGTTTTGAGTAGGTGGACACAGATCAACCCAAATAATGGCTACCAAGTAGATTGTGGGGCCAGGTAAGAGGCAGTATGGGACTTTTCTGCTCATTGGGTGAAGGGAATAGCCTCAAGCCTGGATACAAATCCCTTTCCTCTCTGATTTTTCAGCCTCATTCCCTGCTCGTGTGTTCTCAGCAGTGTGCCCTCCCATCTCAGTAGCCCCCTGTTTCTCTGGGGGCTTCAGAGAAGGAAACCCCCTGAGATGAAAGTCCTTGGAGGCTGGGAAACGTGGAAGGGCAGTTTTAAAACTTGTTGCCCTATTCCTGTGTTTTCTTTGGCAGATGTTAATTGCTAATTTTGTATATTACCGTGCTAGAGAGACGTTAGTGTCACACAGTACAGCTATTTTTATAGGAGAAAAAAAAATCCTTCAAAATCCTTTTTCCCAAGCCAGTAGGATCTATGGCATTTGTAGTTAACCCGAGATGCTGCGTTTCTTTAAATCTGCTGCCATGAAAAGACTCGCTTAACAACGCTGTTCAAATTAAATTCAGCTGGGAAGTAAAGAACAAAGCTTAATAGGGCTGAACTTTCCCATTTTAAAGGACTAAACAGACAATGAGAATTAAATTCATGCAAATATCTTTAAGCAGCCTTATATTGCATTGACTTTATCCTCACATTAGGGATTTAAAAAAAATAAATCACTGCAGTCAGTTTTTACAGTAAATAAACCAGCCAAGACTAGTTTTTCATGCACCTCTCTTCAGAGAAGCATATTAGCACTGCTTTTGATTAGTTTGATATTAAATATATAGTACTGAATTACCAGTGCAGTGATTTTGAGGGAGCTGAAAGATGTGTCAGAAATACTTAGATCAGTTGTTCAGCTGCACAAAGTTTCCATGGGTTTTAGAGGAAGCCATGCACAAGTACAGGGAGAGATTATTACGGTGCTGTTTTAATAGGAGGGGTCTTTAATTATTCTCTTACTGAAGCATGGCTGAATGGTTAATAGGGTACCAGAAAGTTATTAATGCTTCGTGGGTTGAATTAGTGGGTTTGTAAAGGCAGTATACTGAAAATAAATGTAAAAATCAACCTGACTAGTACCCAATTATTTAATGTAACTAGATGGGTTTTAAGAAGTATAACCTAGAGTCCTGAAAGGGATTTCAGATTATTGTTTGAAACACTCGTATTTCTATGCTTTCGAGTACGAATTTATATTAGGTATGTCCTTATTACTATTTTTTTCCTTCTGCTTTAATTTTACGACCTGAATTTCTTTTCTTTTATTTCAGATATACTCCTGTGGGGCGATCTTTTTTTACAGCATCAGAAGGGTGCTCAAATCCATTAGGCGGTGGCAGAGAGGTTTGGTTTGGATTCCATCAATCAGTCAGACCTTCCTTATGGAAAATGATGTTAAATATTGATGGTAGGTTCTGCACAAATTCCTTCTTTCTCCTTTCCTCTCTTTCAGTGGAAAGGCCAAAATCAAATTCCTTCTGCTGGATTTCTTTTAAAATGTCCTCAGTACTTTTGTAATAAATCTTTACTGTTTCTGTCTACAGTATCTGCAACTGCATTTTACAAAGCACAGCCAGTTATTGAGTTTGTATGTGAAGTTTTGGACTTCAAAAGTATTGAAGAACAACAAAAACCTCTGACAGATTCCCAAAGGGTAAAGTTTACCAAAGAAATAAAAGGTAATAATTACATATTACTGCTTTATTCTGTCTGCTGATGTATTATCAACACATATTCGAAAGATTTTCCTTAGCTGTTGACTATTTGGGAGACAGATTATCATAATGAGCAGTGGATGTGCTTTTTGAGCAAACTAAGAGGCAAGAAACATTTTATTGCTTGCATATATTTCAAGACTGTGACAGAGTTCCTTGAACTACAAGCAAAATTGTGTCAGTTCAGAAAAGTCTATGGCTTCAGACGTGATTCACTAGTATGAAAGGTTAAGTGAGTTTTTTGTTTCATTTATTTTTGAAGCAGGAACATTCAGAGCTTGGGTACATAGAAGTAAATTATCATACATTTGAGAATATTCAGTAACTGTACATGCAGGTACATTTAGCCTGTGGCAGATAGAGTAATTTCAATTAGCTTTGCCCTTAATGAAAGTGCTGCAGTGAATCCATGAAGATGATAGATTTTAGTCTCTAAGTATTGGGATAAACTCTTATCCTAACAGCAGATGGATCGTAACTTAATTACTGAGATCAGTTACTGGCTCGTATAAGCTTTTCCTCCTTTAAGTGTAGATTCTCTTGACATACCTTCCTTTTATCGTGCCTCACCGCCACCCAGTCACTTGATCAAGTTTCAGGTCAAAGTTACTCATGCATGTGGATGTCTGAGAGCATCTCAGTGCAGAGGAACTGAGATCCTTTCAGCTTGTGCAGCAGCATCCCTTGTTCTGTCAGTCTCTTTAGAAAAAAGTTATCTTAAATGAATTTTGCTTTTTCACCCTGTGTTTAGAATTTGAATATTACTTTATGCTTTGCTCTTCTTAAAATAGTTGCATCTCTAGAGTAAATGCAAGTTACAATTAGACGTGGAAGTTGCATTATTTTCTGTCTCTAATCCAGTCATTTCAAGTTGTTTGTAAAGACTGGGACTTCATTTTTTTTTTTAATTACTCAGTCTTTTTTTTTTTTTTTTGAGATTACTGCTGTGAAGATTTTCATATTCCAGCTTTTACTAATACATTGGCAACGTGTTTTTGCATACCTAAGTATAGTTTGTATGTATAATTTCCTGGAAGTATGCTACAGTTATTCAAATACGGAAGGACTGAATCAAAGAGTAGGAGAGGGGAATCGTGCTGTTCGTGTTGTTTGCTGAGTCCATACCCAGAATGTTTCTTCTGGAGAATCAGGGTCACTCTGTTGTGGTTTAACCTGGCAGGCGCTAAGCACCACGCAGCTGTTCCTTCCCTCCCTCTCATGTGGGATGGAGGAGAGAACTGGAAAAAAGCGACTCTGTGTAGACCTGTGGCTTGAGATGAAGGCAGTTTAATAGGAAAGAAAAGGGAGGAGAAAAAAGAATAAACAAAACAAGTGACACATAACATACACCACCTGCCGACCCATGCACAGCCCCTACCTGAGAAGCAGCAGCCCTCCACCCCAGCCATCTCCCCCCAGCGTGATGCTGCGTGGTGTGGGACATCCCTTTTGTTAACCTGGGCCAGTTGTCCTGCTTCTGTCCCCTCCCAGCTCCCTGTGCACCCCCAGCCCCTTGCTGGCAGGGAGTGTGAGAAGCTGAAAAGTCCTTGACTTGTTAGTGCGAGCACTGCTCTGTGATAACTAAACTGAGTTATCAGCATTATTCCCATCCTAAATCCAAAACACGGCACCATACCAGGCACTACGAAGATAACACCATCTCTAGGACACCTTCCTTCATGATAAAAAGTAAGTTTAGACAAGAAAAACAAGCTGCATAAATCTGTTCTGTGGTGAAAGCAGCTTTAGGTCTTCTTCATTCCTACAAAATCATCTTGAAAACATGTATTTGCCCAATTAGAAGTTTGCAAGGAAAGTATAAATAAATCGAGTTTGTACCATTCATAAATGTTTTGGAATAATAGCTAGCAATTCAGCATCTGGCTATTACTGTCATTCTTTTCCATGAGGACTTGCAGTCGTCAGGAAGTAACAGTTACCTCAAATTTGCAGCAAAACTAGTTGTAAATTGAGGTATCGCAGTCAGTTGATCTTTTGCTTAAAATACTGCGATGCAGACTTCACAGATCCTTTTGAAAACTTGCTATTTATTGATGGTTTCATAATAGACAGCACTTTGAGCCCCAGCAAATTACGTGGGAAGATGAGTTTGTTTGGCAAGTGAGTGCCTTTGACAGATAGGGGGAATGTGCAGTGTTGCTCAGCAGCAGCATGAGTTTATACACGTGTGCAGATATTGATGGAATTTGTATTTACAGCCCCCTCTTTCCTATTCCCACGCATCCAACTTCCTAACTCTGACAGTCCACCTACACTTCTTTCTGTCTGAACACGCAAGTAATAAAAAAAAAAAAGTGTTGTATCCAAGCTTATGTTTGATTGTAGTGGTAGATCCAAAATACTTCTGTACAGGTAGCAAATGTTTGTCTTCACTGAGAATAAAGCCCAGCAGCCTCATTCTCGTGGGCTCCTGGGGGCTGCGTAGGGGCCTTTTGTTTCCAGATTCATCAGGTCTGGGTTGGTTGTGCTAGCTGGAGGTCTCACAGACACTGTGTGTTTAGACAGAGTATAAACAAGCCTTTCATTTCATGCCCTTTTTGTCCTTCCACCACCATCCCTGGCTTCCTTAGAAGTACAGAATTAGAATTAATTATGTCCAGCTTCGTCTTTCAACTCTTGGGGCTGTAAGGTTTTGCCTTGTACCTAAAAGTCTATGTTGAACTTTGACTGAAGGTTAGGGGTTTTGATTTTTAAGACTGGAAATTGTTTGAGTTCTACCTTAGATACCTTTCAAAGCTCTAAGAACACGCTAACGACTGAACTTTACTACACGTAGTAGTCTTGTTTGGTAGCTGGGGGGGCTGACACCTTGTTTTTAAAGAAATAGTGAAACGTGTTTTCCAATTTTTAGGTCTGAAGGTGGAGATAACACACTGTGGACAAATGAAAAGAAAATACAGAGTGTGCAATGTCACCAGACGACCAGCAAGTCACCAAACGTAAAGTATTTTGTTTCTTAAGCAGATGTTTAATTTTATGCTGGAAGAGGGCCTGGACTTCCTTACTAACCTAGGAAAAGTCTTGCAAAATGGCACTTTTCTTTGCTCAATACATTTAAAATACACCTTAAAGTATTTTCACAATTATGTTGTTCCTTTTGCTCTATTTAGATGTGTGCTTTATTTCTTTTTCCTTCATGGATTTCTTCAGCATTAGAACCGAAAACCCTATTGGTAGCATAATGTTTCCCAGAGCTGTTAAGCAGAGAAGCGAAGGCAACTGGGATAAGGTTCCTAATCCTGCTTATTGCCAATCCATTTTTAGCCTGGAAAAATATTCATTAATAATCAGTGTTGAAGGTTTTGCAGATAGCTTAAACAGGCAGGTATTTTACCCGTTTTTAAGACAGCAGTATAAGAAACAGAGCTGATAACAGCTTTTTTTTAACAAGAAAATAACTCACTGATATTTAAATACAGTATTTAATTGACTTCATTTCCTACTCTTTCAATGACACGTTATATTAATGAAAGGACTGTTTGTGCCAGCTTGATATAACTGTATGCAAATGAGTGCATATGTGGTAATGTATTTGGAATACAAAGAGAGGAGTGCATTAGTGGAAACAATAGTTGGTTTTGTGCCTCACAGTAAGCTTACAATCTTCTGTGCATGGCACATCCTGAAATGTAGAACTGCAGGTATCACAAGCAGAAAATGTTAGCTTTTGCCTCTAAGTACCCATTCTTAGGACACAGTCTGTACCTTCAGGTATCAAAAAAGCTATAGAAACAGCTTTCTGTTGAAAGCCACGTGGTAGTGGCTGTGATAGACTCCTAATTGCAGAAGTGCACTCACATCGTTTAAACAAGATAGTTTAAATCTCCAGCAAGTTAAACTTGTGCCAAGAAGTGTATTCAGCAAGTGTGGGAACGTAGTTTATGTGAAATAACAGCTTGTTTTCATGTTTGATTTCCAATAGATTCCCGCTTCAGCAGGAGAATGGACAAACAGTTGAATGCACTGTAGCTCAGTATTTTAAGGACAGGCACAAATTAGTTTTGCGCTATCCTCACCTCCCATGTTTACAAGTTGGACAGGAGCAGAAGCACACGTACCTTCCTCTCGAGGCAAGTAAACCTTTAGATGTAACTCTATTCTGGGAGTTGGGGAAGGCGGGCAGAGGGGAAAAAAGGAAGAACTGCTGTCAAAATTATGGGTAGCCTGCTTAAAAATGTTGTTTTTTTTTTTTTTCCTGCTGCTTTACACACAGTTGCATCTTGTTTTTTAACTAGCTTTGTGTGCGGGTGTTTTAGGTGTGCAACATAGTGGCAGGACAAAGATGCATAAAAAAGCTCACCGACAATCAAACTTCCACTATGATTCGAGCAACTGCCAGATCAGCACCTGACCGTCAGGAAGAGATTAGCAAATTGGTAAGTGTTCTGTCAAAAATGAGTCAAGTGTAGCAGAGGATTTACTTTTTCTCTTACCATTAGCAGGTACTAAGTTGCTTGCATGCTGCACACGGGTTGTAAACTTGTTTTTCTAAACCTTTCTTTATTAGCCACTACGAAATGCATTCTCTCAAAAGGCTTAAGGGTTGTTGTTTGGGTTTTGGTACTTTATTTTGAATTTGGAGGCATCCACATATCCAAGAAGAATTAACTGAGGTTCTGAATGCTTGACTTCACCCATATTATAGGGGTTATATGCCCAAATACAGTTACCTCAGAAATGTTATCACCTTTCCTAAAAAGGACCTCTTTTTCTTCAAGTGATATCTCAGTCCTTTTAATTTCAGATGCGGAGTGCAAGTTTCAATACTGACCCTTATGTTCGTGAGTTTGGGATAATGGTCAAGGACGAAATGACAGATGTGACTGGTAGAGTCCTGCAGCCTCCCTCAATCCTCTACGGAGGCAGGGTACGTTGAACACACGCTGTACAATTACCTGTGGTTGCTTTGATTACTGCCTGTGATAATTTTTGTAATATGCTCGCTTGCAATGAATGATGATGGGCGTAACGGGATAAAGTCATCATATGTAGCACTTAAATATTTTAATTTTAGAAATCCTTCAATTCAGTGGCCATGTTATGTGTGACAATGCTTTCTTCAGCGCTCCCTTTTTATTTCTGAAAGCAAAGCTGGGGTAAAATGCCTTTGTATAAACCAGAGGAAGATGTTTGCAAGGTGCTTTTTTCTTTGACACGCGGTTTTATTTCATGTTGCAAGAAGAAACCTGCACACAGTGGTTCAAACCCTCAGTGCATTGAAAAGAAGAGAGATAAGGAATGGTAATAACTGAAGTTATTTTTGCCTCCCTCACTAAAGTTAAACTTCTGGGTGGTTTTGAGTGTTCTGGGTGAAGCAGCCCTGTTTAGGACAGCTATATTAAGGTATTCTCTGTCTCTCAGCACGTTACTCTCTAGAGACTCCTCTTCCTGTCGCAGTATTTATTTGCAGGTTTTTCTTTACAGTGGGTTTTCAGATGTCTGACATAGTCACCCTACTTCATTGTCTTAAAAAAAAAAAAAAAAGTTTAAAAGTAGTATTTTCTATCAATGACACAGCATCTTGTTTTTCTGCAAGATGAAAGCCTTGATGTTTAGGATGACTTAATTCGTGGAGGCTTCTGATGAACCTTTTCTACATCATGCGTCACCGGCTGAAGATAATTCTGTTCCAGTGCACAACTCACTGTTAACTGCAAGGGGCAGGGATCTCATGTCTTAAATTGTGATTCTGTCTTCTACCTAATGCTCTTCAGTCAAAATCAGCCAGCTTAGCTCAAACCTTCCTCCAGTGTCAGGTTAAGGTAACCCAGCTGCCATTGCCTGATCTTGATGAGGGAGAGTGCTCTTAGGAACTATTCTGGTGAAAGAACAGAGGGGGAAGACAATGGCAGCTGGAGGAGGTGCTGCTTTCAGCAAACCCAACTCTTTGCAAAATGAATCATCAAATTTGTGTCTGTGTCTTGAAGATTTTTGGCCTCGTCTGCTCAATGAGAAGGCAGACGTCGTGGTAACTTGTCTAAAACATCTACTACAGACTGACGCTTATTAAGGTAATTAATGTAACCAGAATTAGTTTGTTGTCCTGTATCCATTATCCACCATCCTTAATGGAGATAATCCATCACAGTAATACCCACTTGATGGGAGAAAATGGTTGCAGAGGTCAGAGTTCAGTAACTAGTCATCGTTTGTCATCTCTTTTGGGTCTTTTCTGGAGTTGAGTTGACACTGAACCACTATTTGCCTCTACTTAGTGATAAAATGCTTATAGCACTTGGATTGAGTCACTCTTGGAAAGTTCACCCAGCAATTGTGAAGTTCCTGCAGGAAAAAAAAAAAAGTTCCTGTAGAAGTGTACATTCCTGATGATTTATATACCACCTGATAGCATCTGTCTTAATATCCGTGTATAATTTCTGTCTGCGGCTGATTTATGTAACCAAAGAAAACCATAAACAGGAGAAATGAACAATGCCTGCTTGATTTTTTTACAAGCTTTCCTTTTCACCAGCCTGGCCAGCTGTCTTGTTAAAGTGATAGAATGATCTTTATAAGGTAGGATAGGTGTAAACAGTAGAGAAAGACCTTGGACTATAAATAATCTCTTGGTTGGAGAGAAGCACAAACGTAACTGATCTTTGTTAGCATGAATCATTCTGTGCATTAATGTTACTTTTTTCTTTCCTCTTCCAGAATAAAGCAATTGCTACGCCAGTTCAAGGAGTCTGGGACATGAGGAATAAACAGTTTCACACTGGAATTGAAATAAAGGTTTGGGCAATCGCTTGCTTTGCTCCCCAGCGCCAATGCACTGAAGTTCATCTTAAGTAAGTGCGCTGCATAAGATGATGATTTTATTACTTACATGTATGAAAATATCATAATTTAATTAGAATATATAGTTTGTTTAATGCATGGCAGTACATCTTTAACAGTGCTTTTGAAGTTCCTCTTAGTGTTTTGAATGATGCCATCATGATTTCAATGTTGGCATAATGAAATCCTCAAAATCAGACTGAGCAAAACCAACTAACACTGAATGGCAAGGTTCCTACCACAATGAGGCCTTAAGTTTGAGTTTCAGATGATCCAAGTGCTGTTATGAAGGACGTTCAGCACTAAGTATTTGTCAGGACTGAAAGCTAGCTTGTATTTTTCTTAGTTCTTTTCCTCTTTATATGGAATGGAGTAATTTATGCAGAACTTACTCAAAGGAATATTTTCAGAAGTAATCCAACTTCCTCCAACTTTCTGCCCAGATGCAGGAGTACAGCAGTGTACAAGTTACTGTAGTCACAAGTTCAGGAGGACTTGTAGTTATTTTATTGACTTTCAACATTAGAATTAATTTCTTGGATGTCATTTCCCTACCTTTTGTCACAAACAAATGGAAGACTTGTTAAAAGTGACCTTAGCCTTTCTTAGATCAAGGAAAGTGTGCGTGCTTGTGTAGGTGGATTTGCCTAAATCTTTTTGTACACAGTTGCTTTCCCTTCGTGCACGGGCAAGTGTGGCTCTTAGCTGCCCTGGCAGGTGACTCAGCTGCTCTTTGTCAGGTGAATGCAGGGCCGTGGTTATTCATCGCAGCGGTATTCCCATAACAAGCTTCTGGTAGATAATTTGCCAAATAGCTTGGGAACGTTTCCCTAATAAGTGGTGAGAAAACAGTGGAAATGTTACCTTTTAGTTCACATCCTATTTTTTAAAGCTAAGGACTTGTTTTTTTCCAGGTGTTTGACAAGAATTAATCTGCCAGCAGATTTTCCCTTACACGTGTTGCTTCTAGTGGAATTCCGGCATAGGGAGAACTCAGTTTTTGGGAGGGTGTGAGACAGATTAGAGGGATTGGCAGGTTATTAAGATTATTACAGTTCAGATGGGGTTTGTCCTTGGAGTGAAAGGAATTTCCTTCATACTGGGAAAGTGGCTGCATCTTGTTGCATCTTCAGTTATCTTCAAAATCATCCTGCTTTTGGGGATGTTGAGTGCACCTTTTGTCTCAGGCACTGTACCTACAGACAGAATCCTAAAATGAAAGGCTCACAACCTGCAGCAGTGCAGACTTGCATGTTCTGCCACTGACTCTCTCTGCTTAGAGTGGCAAATACTCGTTTTGCCAGGGAAAATGCTTAACGTGCATGTTTTCTGCAAGAAGTCACAAGCTGCAGGGCTGAACCTCACGCTCCTTTATGATTCACGAGAACAGCAACGGGGTTGGAAAAAATCTTCGTGCCCCCTGTGGGCAAGACAGTGCTACCTGGCGCCTCTTGGTGAAGGGGAGCAGCTTGTTACGCACCTCTGGAGACATCCACTCCAAAATAATAAAGGTGGTACCAAGCTCTCTGCTCTACAGATCCACACTGTGGCACCTCACTGCCTGCCTGTGTGGGACTTACAGGCATCTAAGTTGGACAAGCTTGGACTTTGAACACGATTTCCAGACTCGGTGTGCTTTATAAACCTCCATCATGCCACACTGAACTGCTTTCTGTTGTCTTGCTTGCAAGAGGTGCAGTAAAAAACCTGGAGAAGGTTTGTCTGCACCTCCAGGGTACACATTTTCTCTGGTGATCTAGCAAGGTGTTTTTTTGTGTGTTATTACTGATGTTAGATTAATTCTCTGAGATGGCAATTGCTGCTAATTTCTGTTGGTCGTTTTTCTTACCAGGACCAAAAAACAAGTTCGTGTAACTTTTATAGTGATACACACAAGAGTCTGGTGTAGCAGGCTATCCAAGCTATCACCCCTGTAGTTTGTTTTGCAAAAAGAAGCTCACTCTTTCTCCCATAGAAAGATCAAATACAGTAGAATAACTCCTTTGCTTTGGAAGTCAAATTTTCAGCAATGGCATCGTCTACACAGTGTGTTTCCTTATCTTCTCTTACCTTCCCTTCAGTGACTACCTAGGCACAATAAATTGAAGATGCGCTTGGGATAAATTCCGAACTATTTTGGGCAGTAAAGCTCTGCAAGTCTAGAGACCGCTCCATGAAAAATGAGAACAAAAATCAGATTTTTGTTGTTTTTTTTTTTCTTCTTTTTCTGAGAATCTAATGTATTTCCATCCTTGTAGGTCCTTTACGGAACAGCTGAGGAAGATTTCCAGAGATGCAGGAATGCCAATCCAAGGGCAGCCGTGCTTCTGTAAATATGCCCAGGGAGCCGACAGCGTGGAGCCCATGTTCAGACATCTCAAGAACACTTACACCGGCCTGCAGCTTGTTGTGGTGATTTTGCCAGGAAAGACACCAGTCTATGGTCAGTAAGCCAAACTCACCAGCATGTTCTAGTCACAATTTCATGCATTTTTTTCGAATTATTTGAAAAACAAATTAATTCTGGTTCAATTGTATAAATTCAATTTAGAAATAGCCTATGAATTAAATTTATTCCTCTTCTTGTGCTGTGTGATGCTTTGCATTAATACCTTAATGTATATTCTTATTTCTGACTATGCTTTTAATTTGCTTTTGCATGTTCATCCTGTTGGTTGCATTTGTGAGTGAGAAAGGTAAAATGGGGGCTTTTTGGAAATTGATTGAAGTGTTATGTTGTGCATTAAAATGAACTTACTGTAATTGGTGTCCTAAAAGTCCCAAGTGGTTGAAGTAACGAGCTCAGAAGCTGTGTAGCTTTTAAGATGTCTTTGCTTACTCATGCCATCAGCCTTTGGCAAAAGAAGTTGAATGAAGTAGAAAATTTCTGCCCGTGGATTTTTCCCATTTCAGTTTTTAACTCTTGAATCACGAGGGCACAAATGTCTGGAATTACACGGGTAAAAAAAGTCAGCAACTTCAACTGATTTTGGCAACAGATTGACAAATAGAGCATTTTACTTAGCACATAGACATAAGGTTTAATGTTCGAGACACAAACCACACATCTTGTTTTACCTAGCTCTTCCTAAACACAGGACTGCTCTTTTTCCTGTCCTGCCTTCCTCCTTTTCTCACTTAACCCTGCCTAATTGTAGCACCATCCACTGTTTTACTCCCATAGCTTCAAGGACTCTTTTTCTCACAGCCCCGATCTACCAAGCAGCTGTGGATTTGTTTTCCCCATCCCATCTCTCACCGATTTAATACAGTAGAAAATAGGTTCCTAATTCTTTTCCCAAGATTATCTGATATAAACTAAAAAGTGAGAGAGTTAAGAACAAGCCTCCACAAAACAACACTTTTTTTTTTTTCTTTTTAGTTCAGCCTTGCAAAGAAAGCTGTCTGTCTCTAGGTTGTTCAGTACAAATCCAATGCAAAATGACATCTTGCAGTTTTCCTGCTTGGCATGAAGAGGGGATTCTTTCCTCCCTCTGACTACTGAGAGGATGTGGTATCTCTCTCATCTGCTTTCCTTCTCATTATCTTCAATTATGGTTCTCTCTGTGCCCTCTAATTACCTCTCATTTTCTCCCTGTGCTCTTCCATCCTCTTGCACGTCTATACACACGCTCTTGTCTCTTCTCCTTCTCTCCCCCTGCTCCTCAGAAAGTCTCTTTCCCTCTCCTGATGCCAAATGATGTTGCATCTTCTCCAAGAGTAGTATTGATTCTATTCCTTTGGGATAAATGGATATCTGCTGTCTTGGAGCCTACATTTCTTCTCCTGAGTGTAAGATTATACACTTCCCTTAAAGCTTTTAAGTTTCAGTTTTGCTGTTAACAATGGGATTCATTTTAACCTTTGAGGAGTGTGGCTCTTAATGAGTTATTTTGGAGTTTTTATGGGCCATCCTTTGCTAAAGTGGCTGCTTTTTATGCAAGTCAGGGCAAAAGATGATAAACTGGAAGGACATGACCATGATTTTCTCAATGTTATTTAGCACACTAATACTAATTTTGTGTTACTAGACCAGTGTTTAATAATAAAATGTACATCATCCTAATATTATCCCTGTTACCTGACTCCATTAGCCAAAGATTCTTCGATGCTGCTAAAACACTGTAATTCTGAAATTATAATTAGTCTCATTTAAAATAATTTGTAGTTAAAATCAGCCAGCAGTGCCTTTAGTGATGTCTAGGACTGAGGTACTGTGTTGTGAACTGATGGAAGCGGTAGAGAACTGGGAAGAGGATTTCTGGAGAGCAGGGTTGGGTCAGGGAATTTTTTTTTCTTTTTTCTCTTTAAACAATCATTTTACTAAAACTCCAGGTGTCACTGACTCAATGTCTCCTACGTTTATTTGATTTAATACACAAAATATATAATTTTTTTTTCTTTGTTTTGCAGCGGAGGTGAAGCGTGTTGGTGACACCGTGCTGGGAATGGCCACGCAGTGTGTTCAGATGAAGAACGTGCAGAGAACAACGCCACAAACTCTGTCCAACCTCTGCTTAAAAATAAATGTCAAATTAGGAGGTGTAAATAACATTTTACTGCCACAGGGAAGGTAAGGCATCCTTCACAGAGGAAGAGGGTATTGTATGGTAAAAGAACATGCATGGTATAAGATAACTGAGTAACTAAGTGCTTTTTGATAGTCAATCACACTGTACTTTAAGTGAGTCTTTAGTCAGACTATATCTTTTGGCTTCAAATGCAGTTTGGCACGAGCTGGGTTACAGACTGTAGAGGAATACATGTTCCAGCTGAAATTTATTAGAAAAAAAAAAAGCTCTTATTGCAATCTGGCCATTGAAATACACAGCTTCCACTTCAATGGAGAAAAAAAAAACAAACAGCATTTTGTTTGTTTTGAGTTTTCAAACAAATAGAAAAAAAATCTTAAATAATAGTGCCTTTTCCTTTATAGATTAAATTGTGGTGAAGATTTTTTATTTTGTTGTACATCTCAACTTCAACAGACATTTTAAAAAAAAAAAAAACAAAACAGAAGTTGGGGGCAAAGAACTAATTTATTTCCAGGGTTTACCTTGCAATTTTGTATTAGTATTACAGTGAGAAGCTTTAGTTCTACATACACACACAGACACTGTTACTAAGAGTAACTTCAATCAGAATGAACAATTGGGTTTCTACATCAGTGAAAACATGGCATTTTTACACACATTGCATTTCAAGTTGCCCACGGAGCAGCCTGCTACATCATTCCTGTATCAAAGAAGCAGATGCTGTTTTGCATAGATAAGCAAATTCTCACTTGATATTTAGGCTAGTCAGAGGGCAGCTGCACAAAAATAATCCAAAAAGTATCTGGTGGGGTAGAGAACGGGGCACGTTATGAGAAGGGATGGGATGTATGTTTTGTTTATCTTGTCAAATTGTGTTTATTGCACTAAATATATGAAGCCTTGGCAGTGTGGACTCTGTCAACCAGTATTAAAGCAACAAAAAATCTTTGTATTATGGAGACTGCATTTAAAAAGGCACTGTGGTTTTTAGAGCAGAGTTAAGATACTGCAGTGGAAACGAGACAGAGCTGCACACCATGTAAGCAGGCTTCATAAACACAAATTCTGTTAAGTGCATGTGTTAACAGCAATGAAAAGGGCAGAAAGTTGAATTCTGCTCCTCGTACCAATAAACTATGCATTCAAGAAAATGGAGTTAAGTAAAGGGGAAAAGGCAGAGCAGCACAACTGCACAAAGTGCCTGAATGCTCCAGAAAAGTACTTTTTGGGGGTATTTGGAACAGAATGCTTCCATCAGTATTTTCTGTTGGTTGCAGGGCAGGACTAGAATAGTTATTTCTATAAAAGAACAATTCTCTAATTGCATTACAAGTTACATTGTTATAATTGCCTTCAAATTCATTTTTAGAGGAGGTCTGAGAACAGTTGAGTCTATCAACTTACCTAACCATTCCTTCATACATCACAAACACCAAAAATACCAGTGGCCTAAAATCTCCCATTTAAAATCCTTTTGTTAAGGAGTAGAGCTGAAGCTTCACATTTCGAGCACAGTGTTTTGGAGTTTTACTTCTGAGGCAGTAGACTAATATCTTAAGGGTTTAATTAATCTTTGAAGCACAGCTTAACAAATCTAGTTCTAAAGCAGTAAACTGATAGCACTGATAAGGAAAAATGTGGTTGTCTTTTCATTTGGAAACAAAATCATAATCATAAAATCATAACAAAATCATGTGTGCAGTTGTTTAATTTTCTCAGATGCTATTTGATGCTGAAGAAGCAACTTTTGATCCTTCTGTGTGGTTTAATTAATAGAGGTGGTGACTCTACGAGTTAGAAAAATCCTTTTTTCTCATTTTTAGTGAAAATGAACTATCAGTTATGCTTTAAAAATACGCCTAAGTACTTTGTATGTAGCATGAGAGCCCTGATCAGGACGAAGTACTGTCTCATTGCTCGTGACCATCTCTGATTAAGTTGAAATTGTTGGCTAATTCATGGCAAGAGAATAGAGAGCTATTTAGCTGGCTTCTAATGTGCTTTATTAGGCATAAGCCATGCTGCTTTTATAAACTTGCTTTCTCTTTACCAGACCACCAGTATTTCAACAGCCTGTCATATTCCTTGGTGCAGATGTAACTCATCCTCCAGCTGGGGATGGAAAAAAGCCTTCCATTGCTGCAGTGAGTAAACTGTGTAGTTATCTTTAACCCCTGCTTTCTCCCACTGCTCAGTTCTGAAGCATTTATTACTTGCAATTCTTTTGTGGTCTATTTCTTCTGATTGCCTAGTTACGGTATTACAAATTATTTCTCTGCAGAACTTAATGAAACTTTGGAGAGAAGTCTGATACTAATTACTTCAATGTGTGTATTGCTTTGTAAAATGCCCGAGATGCTAATGCACAGAGGAGCTTTTCTATTAGCTGATATTTATCAACCTGTAATAAGCTGGTGTGTGTCTAAATCTGCTTCTTCAGATCTTTTTAACCTGCAGTTAAGAATGTTAAGAACTTATCAATTGTTGAATAGGAATTTGAGAGCTTTACTTGTGTTTTTTGGGGGGGATTTAAGCTTTCTGATGACACATACTGTGCCGTAATCTCAAGTATTCTTAAATAATTCAAGTAATCTTAAGTATAGAGAATGGCACGACTTGCATTATGTCCAACACCTGTAATAGATGCTCTGGCTTATTTAATAATGAGAATCTTTGCAGGCAGTATGTGCAATATTCATCTTAGACTTAACTCTGGTGCTAAATAAACAAATACCTGTTTTAAAAAGCTGCACACATGTCCTGGAAAGCCAGATGGAGATGGGTTGGGATTTTTGATGTGTAGAGTTTTTGTTTGTTTATTTGTAAGTCCAATGGCATTTTAAAAATACGAACTTTGAGGTTTAATAAACAGAAAATTGCCTGTTTAAAAAGGCAGTTCAGTTACTTTCATCAATTACCTTTATTAAACTGCTTTTAAGTTTGGTGTGATACTAAGCCTTTTTTCCCCAGGTTGTAGGAAGCATGGACGCTCACCCTAATCGATACTGTGCCACTGTTCGGGTCCAGCAGCACCGCCAAGAAATCATCCAAGATTTGGCTGCCATGGTCAGGGAGTTGCTTATCCAGTTCTACAAATCAACCAGATTTAAACCAACTCGTATCATTTTCTACAGAGATGGCGTTTCCGAGGGGCAGTTTCAACAGGTTACATTTTTCATTTTGAGGTTTTTATTCTGTTGGTTTCTGGTAGTAAATGTAGTTTTATGTGGATGGAGCCATGAAAAGTAGTGTACCCTCAACAGATCTGTTACATTCTGACCAAGAGGAGCAGGGAAAATGATTTCACTTGTTTTAGGAACTTTCTTTTTAATACCTGATCACCTTAACATACTTAACTTTGCAAAAATATAAGCAATAAAGTATAGTTTTAGAACTCAAGTCTGTTCAACATCTGTGACCTACTGAAGATATGTTAGTCAATTTGGATCCCATAGAATGTGGACAGTAATGAAAACTGAAGTGTAAGCTCATTTTCCTGCTTTACACCAAGTGTAATATTCTCTATTTTTACACTGTCACTTCTCATTTGTTCTGTTTAAAACTCAACAAATGTATTTATTTTGTTTGCTTACAAATGCCATGCTTTATTAAATATTTTTATTTATATCTTAAAGATATTAAATATGCTTTCCTTTCCAATATTCTTACATGTAAATTTAAAGATAGAGAACTTAGTCTGTTTCTCAAAATCAAAGGGGAAGGGAGGAAAGGTCACTTAGTAAACATCAATTAATAAAGCTCTTATTTTTTTTCCATTTTTTTTTCATTGAGATTTCAGTTTATAGTTACCATAAATCCCAAATTGTTTTTCGCTTACTGCATTTATCTTTGTTTTTGTTGATCCCTTTAGCCTTGCTTTACACAGCTGGAAAAGCGTACACAGTTGAGCAATTCTGGATTTTTATCCCTTGTACTAGCCTAAAAAATAATTAGGCTGTTGTATGTTCAACAGCCTAATTAAATGTTCATTTGTCTTTGGCAGTTGAAAAGATTTTGACACACAGCTTTATTAGCCCAAGCCTCATGCTTGGAGCTGAACAAATACGGAACCAGCTCTGGCCTGGCTCAGGGAACGGGTGATCTAATTTGTTCTCATTAAGTGGAGAAATTGAGGTTTGATCCTGAATGCTTTGACATCTCATTGCTCTGAGTGACAGTGCAAGAAGGAACACGATAGAAGAGTCATCTCTAAGCTGTCTTTCATATTTATCACGTATCTTTATGCTTCTGACTCAGGTTCTCCATCATGAATTGCTGGCTATCAGAGAAGCATGCATTAAACTAGAAAAGGATTACCAGCCTGGAATTACATTCATAGTTGTGCAGAAAAGGCATCACACCAGACTCTTCTGTACAGATAAAAATGAACGGGTACGTTCTGACTGTGACCAACGAGTATGTAGCACACATACGAACTGCTCGGGTGCTATAGGAAAAACCTGCTTCGTTTAAAGAGCTACATCATGTATTGGGTGAAATATTGTGCCCGGAAGGGAAAGCCTCTGGGTTTTATCACATATCATAATTGGCAAGAAGATTTTATGAAAGAGCAACAGTGTGCATCCTTGAATAAGTCTTTACATCATTTTTTTAAAGTTAATCAAATTGTTCCTGTTTCTTTTTAGTTTTTCTACTGTCTGGACATCCTTAAAGGTTGAGATTGACTTGAGTAGTGTCAGGCTTATAATGTAGATATCTACCTCTGAAATAGTTCAGGCACTCCTTTTTGGTAAGCAGAGGTCTGCTGGATATTTCCAACGCAGTTTAAGGTATGCTTCCTCCAATTCTAAAGTAGTGTGAGAGAGTTCACTGATTTGATTCCTGTTGACTGTAGAGTGACTCTTAGGTAGCCAGCTGGGATGTAGACATGGAAATTATTAGGTGAGATGAACTCTTTTTTCCTTTAATGATACGTGTAAGATCTCTTAGGTATCTAATCTCTTGGATATCTGGAATTTGGTTTGGGCATATGGAGTGTCATAACACGCTACATGTAGCAGTGTACATTTGTAGGTGTTATTTCTGGAAATGGAGACTTCTGAACCCCAAACCTCTTTTCCCAGACAGGGCTTTTCTCGTGTTTGTTTTCCTGCTGTCAAGCTTCTCTGCCTAAGCAGAGAATTACTTCTAAGGCTGACATGCAGCTGGTTTTGTATATTAATAGTGTGGTGTGGTTGCCCTTAAACTGCTTTTAAAGAGTATTTCTAAGTTCTGCTTTCAAGTAGAATATTTTGAAGGGGAGGCGAGGCCTGTCTTACAGCCATGGGTTGTCCTCTTTCAGGTATAAACAAGAAAAGTCACAGAAAAATAATCTCTTCTGGAATGGGAAGGTGAAAAGAGATTGACAAATCAGTTGTGGGAAAGTCTTTTTGCATTAATCAGATAAGCTAATTATTATACAGGAACTCAAAGGTTTTGTAGCTCATCTCTTATTTTTTCCCACATTGTAGAGACATTCCAGTTTTCAGTTTTACCTGGTCCTTTCTGGACTTAGTGCTTTTTACAGATTTTTTTAAACATTTTCTTCCTTACTATACAGCTGAGCAGAAAAAAAAAGTTTGTGCACCTTAATATATTTGCATTTACTGTTCACGCAGGTTGGAAAAAGTGGAAACATTCCAGCTGGCACCACAGTGGACACAAAAATCACCCATCCATCAGAGTTTGACTTCTACCTGTGTAGTCATGCTGGTATTCAGGTACAGCACTTCGTGTTGGATGAGAACTTCAGTGCTAACACTGGCTGTTGGTATTTTGTGTGTTCTTTACACTGGAGACAAAGGACACGACCTCATTCTACGTGTTTCTGCTTTTTCCTGTGCTGTCTGTAATGCTCTTCCATCACTGTTAACATCTAGAAGAAATAATGAACCCAAACACCCAGGAAACACATGGTGTGCAATTAGTTTAATGTGCTTCTGTCCTGCCTGTGTGCTGCTTTGAATGGTGGTGAGGTAGTTGGGCTATTTTTCCTAGCTGCCTCTTATGTTAAATTCTCTTGAAACACGCACAGGAAATCTCCAGTACGTTCAGACAGCACCATTATAGTTTCACTTTTTCTTGTGATTTCTTCTGAACCAGAAGTGGAAACTATTAATCAACAAAAGCACTGAAAGTTTAATACTCTTCTAAATTCAGTACTCCCTAAAAAGAAGTGTGTGCAGCGAAGGCACGAGTTAGATTACTGTTAGTTGTGAATGTTTTGCATAAAGCTACTTTGCCTGGCTTCTTTGTAAGATTGTAGATTTCACAAGGTCAAAATGCACTTCAGTGCGATCATTTAATATTAGTAACGTGGATGAAATTCTAGAAAATGCAATCCTCTCCAAAAATGCAAAGGGATTTGCTACACAAGGAGCAAGGAGGGAAGTTCTTTGCCTTTTTAAAGGAAAATTTGCTGAAGTCTAGAATTTCACACATAATTTTGGGGAAGTAGCAGGTTGTATTGCAGTTCGCCCGCAGAGATTTGAAGAGATGTTTCCGAAACGCTGACATCCTGTGTGATCTGCCTGCAGGGAACAAGCAGACCTTCGCATTACCACGTCCTCTGGGATGACAATCGTTTCTCTTCGGATGAGCTGCAGATTCTCACCTACCAGTTGTGTCATACGTACGTACGCTGCACCCGGTCGGTTTCCATCCCTGCGCCTGCCTATTACGCGCACCTGGTTGCCTTCCGAGCCAGGTACCATCTGGTGGATAAAGAACACGATAGGTGAGTTGCACGGTTTGAGATTCCTACCCAATTTCCCAGGAAGGGAAACAGGCTTGTTAATTCTGGGATCAGTGGCATCCTCGCGTAGCGGTTTGAGGGCGAGTTTGTTTGCTTTTTTTCCCAGTGAATTAGTTGTGGGTGGGGAAAAAAAATGAGGACAAACAAAAACAAAACAACAACAAAACAACCAACCAAAAAAAAAACAACAACCCACAAACCAAAAGTAAACAAAAGAACCAAAGCCAACAAGCAGGAGATCTTCCTGTATGCTTCTGTGCTGTTTTTTCAGAACTTCAATAGTATTTTAAGGTCAATGAACTGTTCAGAAGAAATAAATGACATGAAAACCTTACGTGTGAGGAGAGGCAGATTAAATAGGGTTTCTTTTCGCCCTCCCTTTTACCCCCCCTCCCTTCTCTTTCAGTGCTGAAGGCAGCCACACTTCGGGTCAGAGTAATGGCAGAGATCATCAAGCACTTGCTAAAGCAGTTCAAGTTCATCAGGACACGTTGCGCACTATGTACTTTGCTTGACATGTTTTAATGTTTAGCGACTCAGTACAATAGAGAGTTGGATTCACATGAGACCAGCTGCACTTAGACCAACAGTTGCCCAAGCTACAGTGACAGCCAGCCATGAGGGACGCCTCTTAATTTCTTTCCCATTTGCAAAGAAAGCCTTCCGTCCAGAATTTCAGACTTGATTGTGAACTGCGTTCTTGTACCAAACCCCACGATTGTTGGAAATGTGGTTTGCCAAAATCTCTAAGCTGTCTGTTATAAAACAGACCCATATTTTATAATTGAACCAAGAGCTGTGATCTCAGGGCTTAGGGAAAAACAAAACAAAGAAACAAAACACCGACCTCTTCGTTCAGTTTGCTATTCATTTAACTGCTTTTAATAATTTGGAGAGATCTAATTCATACTCAAGTTGGTGGGCAAAAATGCTGTGAATTAGCTTTTAATACAAAGAAAAAGCAAAGCGTTTTTTGGCTCTTTATGAAGCCTCTATTATTCTAGATGCATTTACAAAATGTTTATTTTCAAAAGAGTGACAAAATCCTGGTTTTCAACTGTCTTACAAAGATTGTTCTCTCTGTGTCTAAGGGCAAATGTATTTTCTGAAGCTTGTTTCTTGAATGTTTTTTATTGTGCTGCATTTAAAAATGTTTTTTCATAGACTAAAGAAGAATTTAAAAAAAAAAAAAAAAGAAACAAACTCGTACCTAAACTTTTAATAGGTCCAGTTAGATTGGCAAGAGAAGACGTGCCATTTTTGAGAAGCAAAAATTGTAAAGGATTTTTTTAATCACACTGACAGCTAACTTTAGAATTTGTCATACAGGACTGTGACACTTACTTTCCAAAGTCTCTAAGGAATACGGGTCTGTGGTGATAAAATACAGTACAATCCTCTTTCACTGTTATGTTTGAATTAATGTAAATTTTATATATGTTTCACAGTATTAATGTGATAGACTAGATGCTATTATTTATTTTTATTTACTAAGGAGTGCTCATTATGCTTCTGTTAACATATCAAGAATGCTTTGGATTTAGAAATTAAAACCTTCTCGTGAGGACATTACTCTTCAAATGCAAAAAAAAAAATATGCAACTGACTTTGTGAGAGCTCAGAGATACGTGCAGTGTGTGTTGTGGAGCTTGTAATGTGTAGAAGGGCTTTTCGAGCGTGCACACAGCAGAGCAGGGTTTACCTGTGCTGTTCAGAGACGCACACGAGACCAACATTCTGTATTTTCAAGCACAAAACACTTGTTTTTTTATTTATGTGTTGGTTACTGGCGAAGCGGGCGCTCTGGGAGAGGAGAGTGGTTCACTGTTGGTGATTTTAGACAGAAGTCAGAGAATCTATGCAGTAAAGATAAATCTTAGGAAACTGAAGTTTACTTGTGAAGGGAGGGGAAGCTCTCTTCATTATGCATAAGGTCAATGGTAAATGTGAGAGTTTTGCCATTCTCTTCGGAGAAGCATTAATTAAAGCTGATAATTGTTAGACAAACGCTTCTGTTAGTTTGCACACTGGGTTCAGAAGAAAACCATAATCCATATGGAAACCATTGCACTAATTACGATGCCACAAGCAGGTTTAGGAGGAAATGTTAAAAGCCCAGGAAATGTTGATGTTGACTTGATTTTGTTCGTTGTCATAGGATAACTTAAATACATTGGTAAGAGGCAGGTTGTGAAAATGTCCTTCTCTTCCATTTTTGCGTTGTCTTTTCCCCTTTTTCTCTTAGCAGAAGCTCAGTCACTGCTCTGAGTCCGTTTACCTCTAGCCACTGAGGCGGGTGCGTAGCTTTAACCCCCGCGGAGCTCTGTGCCATATAGCAGAGGGACTAAACCTGGTTGCTGTCGAATAAGCTAGAAAATGCCCGAGCTGTGCTGCAAAAAGAGCTGTAGGTACATAACTTCGTACACCTCGTAGCAGAGTGTTGATTGTCAGTGGTGTTTAGGTGAAATAACGCAAATCCTAGTAACAGAGGAGTGGTGTTTGTGGTGTTCTCATTCCTTGATTGGGCTGCTGGGTCGGATTTTCTTCTTGGTCAGTTTTGTAAACCTAGATTATTATTTTTTTTTTTAAATGACGCTGGTGTAACAGAAAGCAAGTTCCAGGTCGCATCATCTGTCTTCCTGTTTCCCAGCCAGGTTGCACATACCTCCCTCACAAGCGCTGCTAAGCTGCAGAAGCTTTTCCGTAAGGGACACGTTGCACTTCTCCGTCTGCTTGCTTGAGAAGTTTCAGATTTCAGCCAAGGTTTGAATTCGGCAGAGTTTTATATCAGAATTATTTTTGTACGGATTATTCTTAACAAATAGGAGAGATGGAACACTTTTAAATAAAGCGCCAGTTATTTTTGTTTGCTGTTCTTCCTGCAGAGACCTCTTGGATGTGAATTTCATCCTCCTCTTCCCTCTCCCTGCAGATCTGGAATAAAGGACTTGATCCAAGGACTTTATGGTGGTCAGGTCAGGCCAAGAGGGCAGAATCTGTCTTCACCCCCAAATCTTATTTCTGAAGCAGACTGTGGGACTTCCTGCACCCTATTTAGGATGCATTCTTTGGGCTGTTGCAGAAGGGCTATCAGGCAGACCCTGTAATCTCAGTGTAGCTCTCATCTCTGCATCCTCTTGGAAAGACCAGGAATTTTGTGTAGCTTTCCTTCCTGGAGCGTGAAGAACTTGGGATGGTTGCGTGCATTTCAGGCTCGGCACATTTCTACCTTGCACAGGTTTTTAAGCCTCCGGTGCCACGAAGTCGACAGCTTGACTTCTCCCTCCTTTCCCCTGCTGCCCCTGCCCCGGTGGCGAATTAATGACTAACTTAGAGCATTTTTTAAAAAACTTTTGATGAAGTATTATGCTTAGAAAAGCAGCGTGCTGTAAGCCCAGGAGCTATTTTCTGGCAATATTTGTAATACTCAAAACCTCTCCTGTCCCTCACAAAAAGGGAAGGGGGGTGGACAGACATCTAAACCCGTACTCCTATTTTTATTTTATTTTATTTTATTTTATTTTATTTTTACCCCTTTTTCCTGTTTTGTGTTTTGTAAGAGCAGCAATATCTCAGGTAAACGCAACGCTGAAGACATCTCCATCTCTCATGCACTCCTGCTGCCGAAGTCGTGGCTGAGGCGGGCAGTTATAACCACTAAGTCACTGTGCAGCTCAGGCCAGCAATAACCCAAAGTGTTTTACCTCCTGGCAGCTGTTCTCCGAGGCCGTGCAGAGCAGTTGTGTGACTGCAGTTGCATAAGAGCACTGGGCAGGACCTCTTCCATTGCATTTGCTCCCCGTTATGTCCCTGGCAGTGACCTTTTGCTGTTGGTGCAGCCTGTCCAGGTGCTCAGCGGGCTGAAAGCTGATCCTGATGGCACCCTGGTGAGGAAAATATCTCCTTCCCCTTCCAGGCATCAGCGCCGTTAGGGACAAAGTGACGGGTGGCAGTCCTGCAGTATTTATTTTGGTGCAGCTCATCTTTAAGAGGGTGCTCAGGAGGTGAAGAGGTATTATGAATGAGTTGCCTGCTACGGATGGCTTTGCTGGCTTTGTACTGAAATGGTAACACTATAGAAAGAGAAATACCCAAATACTGGAGCAGGTTGTGGATCTCTGTCCTTGGGAAGGCTCCGATCTGCTGGGCCTGCTTTGGGCAGGGGCCTTGGTGTTTCCAAAGAGCCCTCCCAAAGCCTGTGGTTCTGTGACAATCACAATGTAGTAACAAAGACTAAAATACTTTAAAACTCCTCTCTTTTAATGTACTAGCTGTAATACAGTATTACCTGGTGTGAGAAACTTCTGCTCCCTTGGCTCCATCAGATAACGTCCGCTCTGCCTCTTCATCGGTCAGTCCTTAGGAGCAGATGTCCCACTGTGAAATGCAGGAAGGAGGGGGATTTAGTAGGGGGATTTCTCTCAGCCTTACATCAGTTTGGCCTTCCAGATAGCCCTATGCAACTATAACTGCTGGTTTGGCCGCGTGCACTGATCACTTCTTTTTATTACGACTCCTCCTCCTGGCTCGCTTCGAGTTAGGCTGCTTCAATGTTTGGATTGCTGACTTAAAATCAACGATCTTCCACGTTGCAGAAGCTTTGGCATATTAATTTCCTTGGGTTTAGATCTGGCAGGTGGGAAAGGTTTGGGATTAGTCGTTTACCTAAGCTGTTAGGGAAGGTTTTGTGTGTTAACCTGCTGCAGCTAGCATGGAAAACCTACAGGTACCTAAGTTTAAAGCAAGAAATTTGTACTACACATTTCTGATCTTCATCCAGGCATTACGTTCCCCGATTATTTAAGCAAAAATGTTGCTAAGCTTTAGCTTGAAATCCGACTATCAATAATTCCTGCAGCCTCTGTCCATTTTTAACATCTCTTGTCCAGGCATTAATAGACCACTTGTAAAACTAAGACCATGAAGGTGCAAATGGGGACGTCGTCGCCTCTTGATGTCACCCAGTTATCATTTCTGGTGGCACAGATAGCCCATAGGGGATTGTTTTTTCTTTTAAATACCTTTTACACCCAAAAAAGGAATGTAAAAAAAAATATATCTTGTTCTGTTTTTCACACTCAATACCAATGTAGGAAAATAATTTTTTTTTCCTACTTTTTAATGCTCTCCTACAGTAGCATCTGTTTTTGTTTTGTGTTGTTTTTCCTGACAGTGTGGCTCTCTCTCTCCCTAATACAGGACAGTACTATGTTTTTTTTAAAACTTTTACATACATTTGGCAACGCTTCTTGTTGCATACGTGCAGTCTTAAGGAAAACTTCAAGTAGAAGGTAATTGCACTGATTGTTTTTAAACTCCCTTTTTACTGTAAGACTTTTTTTTGTCCTCCCATCTGCTGTAGCTCTTTAAAGATACTGTAAAGAGTGCTACGGACAGCAAAGCCTGCAGTGCTGTGGATGCCCTTCCTTGCTCTTACGTTGTAGGAATACTGCCATGTTTTACAGTGTTGAGCTATGAGCTTTGCTTCTAAACGTTGTTGTGCTTCGTTTGCGTTAGGGTGTGAATCCGAGGCCACAGTTGCTTTGTTAGGGGGCGTTTGCCAATCCTCAGTAGCAATTAGCTGATTAATTAATGCAGTGTCTGTACTCTCAGCTCCAGTTGTTGTCCTGCTGCGTCTTCCTGGCTTCCTTCAGCATTTGATTCCCGTGTCGTGTTGAGGAGAACCGGTCTGCGGGGCAGAACTAGCAGGGTAACAGGGGTTTGGGCTGGGATTTATGGATATAAAACCCAAATTTTTGTCTCCGGCGGGTCAGTGACCGGAGCTGCATCCCTCCGAGGTGTTGCGTTGAATCCCAAGGAGCTGGGGCTCATCGTGCGTGTGGCACGGAACCAGTTTTATCTCCTTTTGTCTCTTTTAGTTGCTGCTGCTTTGTTATTTCCTTGCCTGCAGCGTTCAGATGAATGTAACGGCTCGGCCAAATCACTACGGAAGGTGGTTGTTAGTTAGCGAGCAGATGCAGTTCAAGGCTACCTCCTCAATTCCTCCACAGATAAATGAATTTCTGAAGTGAGCCTACTACTCAACAGCCAAAACGCTCCCTGAGGAACTCTTTATTTTTGCTGTTTCATGCTGGAGAACCAGCGGTGCCATACTGTGATCCTAAACATCTCCTTTTCGCTCCTCTTGTCTTCCGAAGGCGTAGGCGTGGCTTGTGCTGGTGCAAAGGTGGCACTGAGGTTCAGAAAAAGGTGCTGAGGTTTCAGAAAGAGCCCGGCACATCACGCCTGGCACGTTTCTTCTTGTGCAGGGTCATCTGATAGAAGCAACTCGGTGTCACCTCCCCGTTCACTTGCTGGCTTTGGACACTCTTGCTTCCAAACAAAGCCTCTTCTCGTCTTTCAGCTGTTGGCCAACGAATGTCATGCTTTCACTGCAAGTGACATCAAGGTGCTTGAAATATGTTTTGAGTCTGAAGCAAAAAAAATACGTTCTGTTAGCTGCCATTTCATCACTTTTAATCTTTGGCCGTAGACACTAACAAAGCCTGTCGGTGGCGGGGATGAAGTTGTGGCTTTTGGGAAGAATTCTTGCTGAGCGATGGCGAGTGACGGAATAAATAAGCTCAGTAATGACTGAACAGGGTAAAATCCTGAACATTTTGTTCAGTTCTTCATTCTAACTTCACAAACCCCCCAAAAAAAGCATGAAGAATAGGATTTTGCTCTAGGGTGAATAGCTGCTTCTGGAAAATATTTCACTACACCCTGGTTTTGTGGATCCATAGACACTATTGACGTTGCTGTGGCCTGGAAGAGGATTCCCTGTGCAGGCAGGGGATTGTGAGCACATCCCCTTAAAATGATGAGGGAGGCCAGGTGAACCATTTCTACCAGAAATCTGCCAAATAAGCACTTGTTGAGGCAACAGTAAGCAACACTTTGTTTTCCTTCTAGCTTCCCCGCAGATCCTGCTGGCAACTTCCAGACCCTTCCCCCTTAACGGGAAGGCTGGCGGGCAGTTCCCAAAAGCTGCCTTCTGCTCTCGGCATCTCAGAGCACCTTGGATTTGGTCTGGATGTGTTGCTGGACCAGGTTGCTTTAGTTTTGCTCTATTTTTTCCCCCTTTAAGACCTGAAATCCCTGCTGGAATAGCTGCTCTACCCAGCAGCAGCAGTTACAGATACAGCTAGCCTAGGAACGAGCCTATTAATTGTCCCTGAAGCATTAATTTAAACATTTCCGACCATTTTATGCCTGCCTGTGCTTGGCAAGCAGGAATTGTGAAAAGGTCAGCAAGCAACCTTGGGAGTTCCTACTCCCCTGCCCGCTCCTCTTTGTCTTGACTTTGTTAGCTTACATTTCCTAGCAGGAAAATAAAAAACCCCACACTGTGTAATCGGGATCCTATTCTTTTCCTATCAGCTTTTCCTGTTTCTGCACCAAGGGAGGAAGCTCCCCTCTTAGCAGCATAAATAAAACTGCCTGGTTTTGCTTGGTCCACACTAGGTGGGCACCCCAAAATCTCACCTCTGTGGCCGACATTGATCGTGATTGACCCTAATTTTTTGACCCTCTTTGACCCTAATTTTTTGACCCTCTTTGACCCTAATTGACCCTAATTCTCACTTTCTCCTGCGACTGACCCCTTGAACTCCTCATCTCATTTACAAGTGACAATTTTGCCGTCTTATTTTGATGTAAATACCGCGTCTCTAATTGCCTGGCCGACTTGAATCCTCAACTGATCTGAAATTGCCTCTCAGTGTTCAATCCCCAGAATGTCTCCAGCTTAAGTGAAGGTTGTTGCGTTTTCCCCATCCTTTGCTATCGAGCTTGGGGCAGCAAAAACTGTGTTTTTTTGATTTTATGGGGCTGAAGGGTAAGGTAATGGATGGATTTGCAGATGGCAGATATACTTAAGGGGTGATTACTAGCGAGCACCTGGGAAAGCCGTGCTTTTTTTATAGGGAGATGCAAAACCAAAAATAGAGTGAGTGCTCAGACACGAAGGTGCAAAGGCAGAGCTTTTTGGGGAACAATAAGCACAATCTCACTGGCTTCCGTAGCCCGTTGTTAGTCTGTACAATCCCAAAACCTCCAACTTTTGGGGCAGTTTGTAAATAGAGACCTCAGCCCAGGCGTCTATGTGGCCAGGTGGTTGACTTGGACACAGAGGGGTGAGGTGGAAAAGAGAATGTATTCATTAATCCCTCCCCCCCCCCTTTTTTTTTTCCCTTAAGTTTGGTACCTTGCAGACTTAACTGACATCTATTAAACCCCCTTTCCTGGAAGATTTTCATTTATTTATTTTTATAAAATAACTCAAAACCAACCAAAAAAGGAACTCGGAAGTTTCCCGTTGGATGTGCTCCCTCGAATCCGAATGCTTTTATGACCGTGTAAAGTTTACTATTTTTGAAAGAAGAAAAAACAACAACAAAAAAAGAAAAACCTAAGATGTTAAGGGCCTCATTTCAAGTGGTACTAAGTATTTGTTGGCTAGCTTGCGTGTTGCATCCGTATTAAAACGTCTCGTGCTTGCGGTGTGTAAATGATGTAGCGCTGTTGGGGTAAGCACTTGTCACACACAACCCCTTGACTGAGTTTTAAACGCATCAGAGGCATTGTAGGGTTGATGGTGTAGATGAAGTGGTGCTTTATGTTCCCCAGAGCCGGCGGGGTTTTGTGTAGATGTGTTGGGGAGACGCGTTGGCCGTGGCTCGGTGTTGGCACGACGCTGCGTGGCGGCGCCGCTTTGAATTAAGCCTTAACAAAAAAAAAATAAAAGGATAAATTCATCAGATTTTCTCAGAGCAGGCAAAAATACTGTTTAACCAGAGTAGGATCTTCCTCAAAAGCTAAACTCGGATAAAGGAAGGCTCATCTGAGAAGGAAAGGGAAAAACCTGTAGATCTCTATACTGTGACCGACCTCCTCGGGCGCTGGCGTTGCCCTACAGGAGCCGGGCTCTCTGCGTTTCTCGGGCAGTCTGCCCCAAAAACGGGCTTTCTGAAATCTCAGCTCCTTGCGTTAGGCATCTTCTCCTCCCTCCCCCTGCTAGGAAATCTCTGCCCGAAGGAGGATTGCTGAAATTTTGCAGTGAAAAGGGACAAAAGCAACCCAAATCCAACCGTTCTCGAGATCCGTGCTTGCTTCAGGTAGTGCCATCGCTTGCGCTTCTCCGGCTGACATCTGATCCTTCAAACATTAGGGCCAGGGGGCAAATCACGTGGCGGGTTGGGGACCCAGCTTTCTTTTTCGATTTGGATCTACCTCATTTCAACAGTTGGGTGCTATGAACTCAAATTGTCGACGAGATTGGCAAAAAAAAAAAAAAAAAAAAGCGACCAAACTGCGCGTGCCGGCCGACCTCGGGGCGGAGGCGGTCGCCTGCAAACCAAAACCTTTTGGGTTTCTTCTTTAGAAACAACAACGTTGTCGTTCAGTTTTTATTCTTTGTGCCTTTGTGTTTCTTCCCAGTGCGTAACAATCAAAAGTCATTGCTCTTGATCGAAAACAGCAGACGAATTTTAACCGCAGAGCTTAAAAAAAAAAAAAAAAGAAGAGAAAAGCAGCATATTTTTAGCAAATTGGAGAATATTTTTCAGTGTATCGAACCGTAAAGTGTACAGTATCAGAGCAGAACTAGGCAAAGAGAAATACCCAATAAAGAAGTTTTTGAAATTAATAATTCCCACCCGAGATATATAGATTTATATCTCTATATATGCATATATAACATAGGTGCACATACAGCATATAGCTGTGTGGGTACCTCTGTGTGCATATATATAAAAAATATGAATATATATAAAAAAAATGAAGGGATCCATGGGTAAGGGGAAGGGAATCAAATGTAATTTGACTTTTCCACACAGTTTTATATCTAACAGTTTACAACTATGTATAAGTTTTTCTACTATGTAAGCCTTTTTTACTTAAAAAATAATCCTTTTGGGGAAATTTAAGTTGTGATATACTATCATTTTTTGAAGTTTAAAAAAAAATAAAATAAAAAATCGACTTTCTACCAATACTTAATACAGAGGGGGAAATCTTTTTTCTGTAGAATTGTATTTAGTTTAAATATTAAAGGAAAATCTATGTATGGAACTGTACAAGTGCTGACAGGCCGGGCTGGCAGGACTTCAAAGCTGTTTCCTACGGCTTTCGGCTGCAGAGAGACTCGAACAAAAGGAAGATGCCTCTGTTAAATGTTTTTATAAAACTGCTCCATCAGGTCTATACTTAAGCTATATTTTCTAAAGCCTCTACTCATCCTTTAATATGCTGCAGATAAATTATCAGCATGGTTGCACTTTCTCAGTAATAATGTATGCCCTGCAATTGGCTCGAGATAAGGACTTTAGTTTTTTAACAAAACCGATAGTACTTTGGGCAGAAGGTAATATTTATATAGGTACCTCAAGAAAAAATAAATAAAAAAAAAAAGCCTGAATATGCTGCATTTTGTTCCTTTCACATTTTTCATGTAGCATTTGTTTGCTTTTAATTTTTGTATTTTTATTTTTTAGTAGATTTCTAGCTACCTGTTTTGCTTCGGGGGACCCCGGTAGCATTTTTTTAGAGCGGTGTTTTCTGTCGAGCTCGTAGGGTGTAGTGTCCGTCCTTGGTTTCATGCAGGAGCTCGGGGGGGGGGGGGTTGCCCTGCATCGTGTACGCAACGGGGAGGGGGGGGACCACGAGGAAATTCACTTTCCGTATACTTCAGGAAAAGGATTTTATCCCCCGAAAACAGACAATAGGTGTTCCTAGCCCTTGGTGTGCTCGTACTGCTTTCGGGACTCTTTTCTCAAGTAGGGATGGGGAGAGGGGCAGCGTGTTGGGGAAAAAGCCAAAGGGACCAAATTTCCCCTGTTGGTCAATGTTTTGGGGGTGCCGAGCTGCCCGAATTACAGCTTGGTGAGCATCGGGCCCTGGCACGGAGTAGGATCCCACCAGAGGTTCTTCCACCTCTGCCTTTCCCAGCCAGGGGAACCCGAAAAACGTGCAAAGAGGGGGAATTGCTGTTGAGAACCATTGAAGGAAGCTTCAAAGGCTGTGAAGTGGAGCATTTATTGTCGTGTTTTTAAGCTTCGGTGGGTCCTTTTCCAGGTTTGTTTTACAGCTTGCAAGGTAAAATAGTTTTGCACTACTTTTGCAATAAACTCATGAAAAAACCTAACAGTTTCTGTTCTGGTTTCTTACTGTATATATACAACTAATACTAAAGACCTAGCATAGTGTTTCTCACCTCAAAACATAAGACTCGTAACAAGCTCAGAATGCTGTAATTCCTGACAAAATAATGATGTGAATGATATTTTATAAAGTTATTTTGTATGGTGTCAATTTTGTTTTGCCTCATAGTATGTCAATAAAATAAAATTCCTCATCTTTATGGGCTTGTTTGCTGTCTTTCTTCCATTTGACTTGTTTTTTCCAGTTACTTGTGCACTGTGAAATGTAAAATTATCGATTGCTGCAGTCTGTAGCTCAGATAAAAGTCCTGGTGGCAGAACCAAGGTGATGTCCCCTGTTAAATCACGATTCAGGTTTAAATGTGCTGGTTTTGGGCTGTTTTTTGGGAGAGGAGAGAATCTCTCTGTCACCTGAGTGCCTTGAAGTTCTGGTCCATGCTCTGCCACGTGCCCCTGGGCACATCACATCAATGATAATTGTTCTCTGTAACAGCCTGGCTCCGAGAACCCTTTTCAGCATTACGGGCAGCTGGAGCGGCTCCCAAGGCAGAACTGCTGGTGGAAAATGCTATTCTGAAACTAAGCCCAATGGTAAGTGCCGTAAGCGTGTGTATGTCCTAAAAATGATCACATCTGATGTCTTTACCTCAAAATACAGCTGCCAGCACACAGCCGTCCGGGCTGCAGCTGTTTTGGAGCTCTCCATGCCCTAGTTATGGTCCACCTGAGGTAAAGGTGGTGGTGCTGGGCCTTAGCCATGGCTCTGGGAGTTACCCTGAGGTCTTGTGACTCTTAAAGACAACTCAGGTGTTTTTTGGGGTTCTCTAATGATGCCTCTGGGTGCAGAACCTTTCCCTAACCCCCAGCCTGACCCTCCCCTGTTCCAGCTCCATGCCGTCCCCTCGGGTCCTGTCGCTGTCCCCAGAGAGCAGAGCTCAGCGCCTGCCCCTCCGCTCCCCTTGTGAGGGAGCTGCAGGCCGCCATGAGGCCTCCCCTCAGCCTGCTCTGGGCTCAACAAACCAAGGCACCTCAGCTGTCACTTTTCATAAAAAACGTTTATTTCAAAGTCGCATATAAAGTTGTACACAGGAAAGTTACCTTTATAGTGTAAAAAAAAATAATCCAGCTCTCACTTAAATGGTGAATGGTTCACTCAACGACCCACCTTTACCAGGCCTCAAACAACACGTGTTTTGTCAGACACCACAGACACACTGCAGACGTGGAGAGCTGGGTACAGAGCAAGGTTCTCCATGTACATATTTACATCGTTTTCTAACGTTAGCTATCTATTTTCTTACCACCACAGCCACCGAACCACACCAGCTCTCAGAAGGGCTCTCATCCTCTCCCCGTTTCTGCACGGGGACACCCCCAGGGGCTGCGTTCCAGTTTTACACAACACTTTTCAGAGAAGGCCAGGACAGCAGACAGTAAGATACTGTGTAAAACACCTCCCCTCCCCTTATTTTCCCACTCTGAGGAGAAAGAAACCAGGGTAGAGCCCCCTCCTAGAGAGCTGAAACAGCTTTTGGACTGAAAGCTGCCCTGAAGGATTTGTAAATTTGGTAAGGATTGTCTGAAGAAGTCTCATAGGGAATCGCCTCAATGAGTTCTGTCAAATTTACGTGAGCGTTTCTCTTCCCCACCGAGTTTTCCGAGGGAAGAATTCCATTCTTCAGCAAGAACCAAAGTTCAATTTCTTTTAAACTTCTTAAAGCAAAAGCAAATGGCTCAGTATATAAATATATCCAGCTTCTGGAATCTCAGTCACAAAAATAACATCCTTTATACAACAGAGAACGGATCGGCTACGAAGTAGTTCTCCTCTAGCCTTAAGATCCAACATCTTCACCCACAGCTTCATCTTCATCATCTTCCTCCTCATCCTCCTCTTCGCCTTCCCCCACTTCTCCATCTCGCTTCTCTTTTTCGAGCATTTTTAGGTATTTGCTAGCTAGGATCTTCTTTGGCAGGATATCTGGAAGGCAGAATTGTTTCTGTTAGAGTCAGTTTGAAACTTCAGTTGGCTCATTCGTAATGTTGCATTCATGCCACTACTGAAACAGCCTAAAAGAGGCTTTTTTTGTTCATTTTACATTATTATTTAATAACCAGATTAATTAGTCTGACAGCTATAATAAAATCAGTCTATACAGCTGTACTAAAAGAAAGGAATTACCCACGCATAGCACAAGGAATGTTATTTATTTGATGTAAAATGGAGTGCTCAGCCACCTCTGACGGATTCAGTAGGACAACGACCTTATTTATGTCCTATAAAAACAGGTTTTCTCCATTCAGGACAATAAAAAGGGCCCTGAGAAAGCCCAGCCTAACAATGTCTCCTTCTCACTTTATATCCTATGCTGATAACTTTTCCGAGCCAATTGTTACAACAAAATTACAAGTTTGAAGCGTGCACACGCGTGTATACCTTGTATACACAGATTAAAACAGGGAGAGGAAGCATACGATGAATCACTTCGAGAAACAGGACTCAACGATTTAAAGGTATAATTTGTGAGCCATGTAATTTGTACCGAAGACGTGCACTGATCTTGTTTTATAGGCTGAGCGCTTTCAAATGGAGTTGTGGAAGGCTTATGGCAATGTGCTGAGCACTAATTAGCCGTGTATAAATTGGAAACACCACAAAAATCTCTACTGCCAAAGAAGGGTTGTCAGTGACTTAGCTTATGAGTTCAGTTTTAACGTTATATAAAAGATTAACAACCAAGCAGGAGGGTTGTGCTCTCACTGAGTTGTTTTGTGAGGACAAGGCTTCATTTTCCCAATTTGATTGGATTTCCTGTCACTCCATACATACCTGCAAGGAACTGGAAGGTTTCACACTCTTCTGCAGTATGAGACAGGTCACTGTAAGTCAGAGCGTTCTTCTCCTTGCCTCGGCCGTGTTTGTAGGAGTAGGATGCCAAATACTGGACAAAAAGCTCCTAAAGAGTTGAAGCAAGTAGTAAGAATTCAGATACAGAGCTGGCAGCAGTTCTCTTTAATCCCCAAAGGCAAAACCACCACATTTAACTATACACATACAGGGCACCCTGTGCAGAGACCCACTCATTTGAGAAGGGCTTGATACACTTCAGAAAGTCAGGATATGGACTCACAGAATCATTAAGGTTGGAAAAGAGCTCTAAGATCATCTGGTTCAACCATCATTGTTATCACCAATATCACCACTGAACCATGTCCCTAAGCACCAGGCCCAACCTCTCCTCGAACACCCCCAGGGACGGTGACTCCACCACCTCCCTGGGCAACCCGTCCCAGTGCCTGACTGCTCTTGCTGAGCAGAAATGTCTCCTCATTTCCAACCTGAATCTCCCCTGGCACAGCTTGAGGCCATTCCCTCTCGTCCTGTCAGTGATTACCTGTGAGAAGAGGCCGACCCCCAGCTCCCCACACCTTCCTTTCAGGCAGAGAGCAATGAGGTCTCCCCTGAGCCTCCTCTTTAGACTGAACACCCCCAGTTCCTCACAGGACTTGTGCTCCAGGCCCTTCCCCATCTTTGTAGCCCTTCTCTGGCCACGTTCCATGGCCTCGATGTCCTTCTTGTAGTGAGGGGCCCAAAACTGATCCCAGCACTCGAGGTGCGGCCTCACCAGAGCAGAGCACAGGGGGACGATCACCCCCCTGCTCCTGCTGCCTGCACTATGAGCCCCCCAGAGCTAATTAGACCCTGCTGACCGGACAGGAGGCGGCAGCAGCCCCCAGAGCCCCGGGGCTGACCCCGAGCCGCCCCTCAGCGCCTCGCCTCATGGAGGAGGAGCGGGCCCGGGATGGCACGGAGAGGGAGCAGCCGGTACCGTGGCCTTGGCAGTGAGGAAGAGCGCGTCCTGGTTGATGCTGGAGACCTCCGGGGAGCTCTTCATGATCACTCGGATGCGGGACAGGGGCAGCGACACCAGCCGGTGCTCCCCACCGCCGCCGCTCAACCTGGCCGCCATCTTATGCCCGCCCCGGCCGGCCCGCCGAAGAAATGGGCGGCCGCCGCCGCGCGGCCCGCTGGGAGTTGTAGTTTCCCGCGGGCAGCAGGGGAGCGGCGCGGTGCCGGCGTCGGGCACCGGCGGGACTACAACTCCCGTGAGGCCGCGCTGCTCTGCCCGCCCGCTCGCCGGGCAGCGGGAGGACTACAAGTCCCGTGGTGCACCGCGAGCTGCCCGCGGCGCTGAGGAGATGGCGGCGCCTCGCTGAGGCGGCCCGGGGATGGCGGACACCCCCGCGGCTCCCTCAGTGCTTTGGGCGGGTTGCCCCGGGCCTAAACTGGCCCCAGAACGGGCAGGAGCGGCCCCACAATTCCCCTTTATCAACTTCCCCTTGTGGGCCGCAATACAAGCGTGGGGAAGTTGTGTTTAATGGCAAATAGGCTCATCCTGTGTGTAACCCAATTACAGGCCGGTGGCTACAGAGTTATTAACCTAAACCGTAATTACAAGCCGCTAAACACCTCTTTAGCTGCTGGTGTACGGTGGTAGGGAATGCTGTCTGGTGATCCCAACACCTGTCAGAGCTATATTGGGGTGCGGAGAAAACCCAGACTCCACTACCTCATTACGGGGCAGTGGCTTAATTAATATTATTAACACGTTCCCCACATGCACAGCATTCACCCTTATTTTCCCTGAGTGACCCGAAAGTTCTGTTTCTGATGCCATTGGAGCCAGAAGTCTGCCATGGAAAAGAGCTGCTGTGCTCCCACTGAGTGGCAGAGCAATTGGTTTCATTAACGGCTTTAATTAAGGGTTTCCAGCGTGCCTCACAATTGTTTTGCCTGGTCGCTTGTGGTGAGAAATCTGCAAAGACCACTAATTTGATCTCTACTTAGCATGAGAGGGATCCGTGGGAGCTTGTCCATAGCATGCAGTAGCAGTTCACGTGGAATTTAGGCAGAAAGGGATGCATCTGCAAAGTATCACATCAAATGGAAAATACAGGGGATTTTTTAACTCAGTATTATGAGCTGATAGAGAATTTGGCAAATACACAAGGACAGGGCTTTCATACAGATGACACTGGATTATTAATGGAAGGGAGCACCTTCAGCAGCTGCCAGCACCTCAGATGTGCTTCTTGGCACTGGTTCCAGCACTACTGTGTCTGGAGACAACTTTTACAGCTACTCAGTACTGACACTCAAAATCCCTTAGACTGCATAATTACTTTGAGGTTATAGCTTTGGTGAGGCTACTCTGTAACTTACACCTGAAGTGAAGCATAATGTACAGGGATGCTATATGGGCATCCAGCAGGCTCGGTTCCTTTGATCCTTATCGTCTTGTGACATCTTGTGGAAACAGCTGACATTACTGTGATAGTGAATCTTTTACAAATACCAGTGGGCTGTCCACAGGCAGCAGCTCTCCAATACTGCTCCCACACAGCTCCGTCCCATGGGGTCCATCCCCCAGGAGCAAACTGCTCCAGCACGGGTCCCCCATGGGCGGCAGCTCCCCCCAGACCCCCTGTTCCTGCGTGGGCTCCTCTCCATGGGCTGCAGCTCCAGCCCGGGGCTTGCTCCTGAATGTAATCTGGAGAAAGTGTCTGTTCCCTAGATTACTAAGAGAAATTAGAGTACTATTAGAGAAAGAGCAGGAGGTTGAGGCAATTCTAGCTGCACTGAAGATCTTCCATTTATTCCAGAGAGAATATGACAAAGACTGTAAATTGTTTGGCAGAGCCAAAACAAAACAAAACAAACCCACCAACCAACCAAAAATCCGAAGGATAAATTTTCTTTATATAAAAACAGAGCACAGCTAAAAAAGACCCATGCACAATAGACTAATAATAGATAATAGATTTTTAATTATTTATGCTCTAATCACACAGACACACAAGATTCTTGAAATTCACTATTATTGTATAAAGAACAGCAGATAAGTGCTGGACTGAGGAAACATCTGCCTGTATCAGCAACCAAGGGAAGGAGCTGAAGTCAGTCTGACAAAGCAGAAACACAAGATGTGGATGAGTAGCTGGCACAGGCAATAAATGTAAGGTTATATTAAAAGAAAGAGGTGTTTAGCACAAGATGCATACTGTCACAGAGGAAAACAGCTTCTGTAGTAGTGCTTTAAACTTGAAGCACAAATACAAAATACAATACAAAACAATACAAAAGCTGCATTTACAAACAATGCAAACAGACAAGTTCTTGATGAAGCAGCAGTACTGTCTTGTACAAGGCAAAAGAAGTATTCTGAAGGGATTTGATGAAATGTTACACGGTAAGGAAAAGAAGGTTGTGTTGTTCAAAATGCAAGATTAAGTCTGAGCAGTTGGTAAATTAAATGCTAATCCACAAATGCAAGCAGAAAATAACTGGACTGACAATGGTCATAGGATATATACATATTCATGTAAATATATGAAATAAAACTTCCAGACGAGGAGTATGGTTACCGAGTGTTTTATTCTTTCCCCATAGCTATAAGTTACCAATGTGCAAACAAGTCTGTAATATGGGCCTTGTATTTTCACATGGCTCTGTAAATCTAATAAATGCCGTGCATTTTAAACAGAGGCATCCAGCTGACGGCTCCTTTTCTTTTTAGCGGAGGCTTCTGACCTGTCAATGAGAAATACGTTGCTCACCAGGTTATTAAAGTAATTATTATCCTACAATGGGTTAAGACCTATTCATTTATCTACTTTTATATTTAATAATTGTGTGTTGGAGGTAGGTTTGTGATCTGAATGACCTTTCCCAGACACTTTAATCTTTCCCCAGCAATACACCTGTAACAAGGTCTCCTTAATAGTGAGCTTTGAGGGAGCTCGCTCTTAATCGCCAGCTCAAAGCTGATATTCTATATTATCCCCAAAATATTTGTGTAGGAACTAGTTTTAAAATTGTACATTTTAGGGAATTTGAAGACTTTCTAAACACAGAAGTAACACAATGCATTTTCTTCAGTCTTCTTTTTGGGAAGAGTGCACCACTTCCATTAATTGTCTGTGATGGCAATGTTCTTTGGGTTGCTCTCCTGAGGAATTTCCCCATATCAACAGTGAATGCTTTATCAGATCACTTCAGTAATAGGTCTCTTAATTGAGCATCATAATTAAGTTGATTATCAGGGTTCTGGATTACAGAAAATCCCTTAGGGTGCAGTCACACACAGTGGACCTCAAATGGGAAGCAATGTAAATTCAGAGGCTTGGCACCACCTGAAAGATATCAGTTTGGAGACCAATTAGGGAAGGGAAGGCCGGTATTTGGGGCCAGAGGTGCCAAGTGGCGGGGAACTCCCGTCACCCTTGCCCATAGTGGAAAACAGACGATTCACTGGGTTCACTGGGACGGGTTGCCCAGGGAGGTGGTGGAGTCCCCATTCCTGGGGGTGTTCAAGGGAAGATTGGACGTGGTGCTTGGGGTGACATTGGTGGTAGGGGGATCATCCTACAGGAGAGCCGGGGCTGAAGCACCAGAGCTGAGGCACCGGGGCTGAGGCGCCGCCACCTTCCCGCCCAGCGCTCGGCGCCTGCGCCGCCCTGCCTGGCCGGGGGCGGCCATTGCCGTCAGTTCCGTGCCGGCAGCAGGAGGCGGCGGGGGCGGCTCCCGGCCCGGCTGTGAGTGCCCCCCCTCCCTCCTTCCCCCCCCTAAATCTCCTCAGCGCGGTGCCCCCCTCACAGAGCGGGCAGCTCCTCGGCTCCCCCTCCGTCACGCTCTCAGCCTCCCAAAAAAAAAAAACAAAACACCACCACAAATCCTGTTTTCCGCCATCTGTTTTGCCTCCAAAGTCTTCGCTTTCTTTGCGGGGGGTCAGCCTGCTGCTTGGTTTTGGGGTGTGTGTGGGGGTGCTCGGGGGTACAAAGAGGTTTGGGAGCCCCCCCACCCTGCAGCTGGGGGTTTGGGGCTGTGAATGTTTCCGTGCTGAGGCAGAACTGATGGTGTGGTGCCCCCCTCCTGTGAGAGCTTTGAGAAAAGGCTGATTTTGCTTCATTCACCCAAATTTAGGAGTTTAGATTGGCCACAGCCTGGGCTGTGTGAGGGCAGTGCCAGGTTGCTTAATCCCCACCTGGGCCATCCCCACGCAGCTTCCACCTTCCAGGCAATTATTCCCTGTGTTGTTTCTCCTTGGTGCGAGGCTGGAGACCGAGGCCAGGAGAAAGCCGTGTGGAGGTGGTGGTGGGTCAGGAAACATTTAATCAGCAGCCCTGAGCACGATGTTGGCTTGTGCACCACGTAGCTGCACCATGAACGGGACAGGACAACATAGCCAGGTGGAAAAACCCCACAAGTATTTCTTTAAAGCACAAGTAATGCACAAGTATGCTTTTAAAGTCATGCACAGGGTGCAGAAGTGCTTAGGAGCAAAGTCCCGGTCTCATTCGGCAGCCGCGCGTGCTTCTGAATGTTAAAAGAAATAATGCACTTTTATTTTCTTCTCCTAGCCTGCAGTTGATGCAAAATGAGCGTTCCTGACTACATGCAGTGTGCCGAGGATCACCAGACTCTCCTCGTTGTGGTTCAGCCGGTTGGCATCGTACCCGAAGAGAGCTTTTTTAGGATCTACAAGCGAATTTCGGCCGTGAGTCAAGTGAACGTGCGCGACTCGCAGCGCGTGTTGTACATCCGATATAGGCACCATTATCCCCCCGAGAACAACGAATGGGGGGATTTTCAGACCCACCGGAAAGTTGTGGGCTTGATAACCATCACAGACTGCTCTTCTGCAAAGGACTGGCCTCAGACTTTCGAAAAATTCCATCTCCAAAAAGAGATGTACGGTTCCACGCTCTACGATTCCCGCTTGTTTGTCTTTGGCCTGCAAGGAGAGATTGCAGAGCAGCCCCGCACGGATGTGGCGTTTTATCCCAGTTATGATGAATGTGAAACCGTGGAGAAGAGAATAGAAGATTTTATCGAATCCCTCTTCATTGTGCTGGAGTCTAAGCGGCTTGACAGAGCCACTGATAAGTCCGGAGACAAGATCCCGCTGCTCTGTGTTCCCTTTGAGAAGAAGGATTTTGTAGGTCTGGACACAGACAGTA